ATCTCCAAGAAATGCACAAATATTTATTCTATCCGCAGCGTTTCCATTGGAACAGCCATTTTTAAAAATTTTTAATGTATGGCAAATGATACAGCAAATTGTACTTACCAGTAAACATCACGTAAATTTGATTCCCATTTAAGCTAATTTGGTTCATTTAAAAGTCTTTGGAAAATTGCTCTAAAGCTATCTTTTGCAAGGAATATAACAGGTAAATTATAGAATGTTCTTAACTTCATCATAACGAATAAAATAAGCGAATCTAATCAGTAGAATAAGAAAGTGAGATAGTATGATATTAACTACTTCTAGAAACAAGTCAGCAAAAAGAATCATACGATGAAATCAACTTAGTTTCGATAAAACTAAACATGTATGTTGCAAAAATAATGAGTAACCATGTGAAGAGAACTTTCAGATTGAACGATTGACACAATATTGTATCTTGTATTTATGAAACTGTGTAACTATGAGAAAAAATTTTCAAATATTTTTTTCATTGCATAATTTGTTGTATTTGTTATCAACAACTCTTTCCTTCCTTATCTTTATACTTTGTTAACTTTTTGAAACATAAATGTTGTGATCAAACGCATTTTAAATAAAACATTTTGTTATTTTTTTGTTTAAAATGCTAATGATAAATGGCATTTCAAAAAAAAAAAAAAGAAAGTTCACCTCATCATCAATATCAATCGGTGGCAAATCATCAACATATTCAGGCTGCGAAATAGTAATTCGCTCATGATTGTCCCAACGACGATCGGATCGCGGGACGATATGCTGTTCCACTTTTCGTTCCACTTTAAGTTCAAATCCTCCTAGTGACGCTAACTTTTGCTCTTCTGTTTTTCGCTTTTTGTTTCCATTATTCTCCTTCAAGCTGCCTGATTCAATCACTGAATTGTCAATTTCTTCGTCATTTGATGTTGGAGTACTTTGTACTGACTTCTGAATATCAATAACAACCGGTTGTGTGGCGTTCTCGTCCATAAGCCGTATCTCGATCCGCTCAATTGGTGTATCTAATCGCTCTACTGTAATTCACCCACATTGTCCATTGTTTTATTAGTCATTCCGAAAACTGGCTTTTTATGAAATTTTGCACATATCTGATGTAGCTGATATTAAATTCAATTGCCTTATTTTTTCTGTAATTGAATCATATCAGATTGAAAATTTTGAATGCTTCAATAATTTCAACAATATTTGTATAAAATTTGTGTTAAAACATGTGTCAGATTCATCTTATCATATATAAAATCATATTTTTCCTACTTTTTCACCTACTTCCCAAGCTATATCACAACCATAGTTTAGCAAATTGTTAAATAAATACCCCTAAATGAGGTGGAAGTATCGATGATAACAGCCTTTTCGCTGTCAGCCAAAACCACTGAATCAACATTATTGTTTGCACCAAGTCGCATCGGCCCACCTAATACCAAATTAACTTTAAACAGTAGTAGATTTAACTTCCATATGTAACTGTGGAACATTATCTGTAATGTAATGAGGTTAAAAAGCATATTAGGACGTACTGAAATGATTTCAACCTCGATATCTTACTTTAGACCTAAGATTCGTCTGTCAGATTATTTAAGACAAATGGTGTGGAATAAATTAAAGTAACTCAATAATTACAGCAAATGTTAGCTGAATGAGCCATTGTTGGTTCTTGTAATTTTAATGAGTTGGAGAGAAAAAGTGCAAAGCAGAAAATGTAGCAAATTGTGACAACCATAAATTCATTAGATGATCTTTCTCATAACTGAAAAGGATAGAGAGAAAGATGTGATAGAAGTGACCGACTCAAATCCTTTTATTTTATGGAATTCTTGAAATGGTTCTGTTTTATCTATGATTAATTATCCGCTTGGAGTTATCTAGTCCTGGTGGTGGAAGGTAAACAAAAAAAAAAAGTAAACAATTAAAACAACACCTGAATGACTTATCGGATTATCACGTTAGGCCGAGCAATGATCGAAACAGAAAGAATAACTTCATGATACTATTTCTCTTCACCTTATTTTCCTGCCGAGTATTTTCCATAACTCCAAGTTTTTTACTATTTACTTTAATTTACATTTATATGATTTGAATGGAAAGTTTGCTTTTGGAGAAAGTTATTTCCTTCAACTCTTGTTATAGAAATCTAACTTATTTCGACTTAATTTACAATAAATTTATTTTTCACTTTCAGTTCTATAGCCACCCTCAAAATTTTTCATTTATGTTAAAAGCTCCAGTCAATCATCAAGTTATAAGCTTTCTGGAATTTATTCAAAGAGCGCAATTTACAGAGTGAAATGAAGTAAATATCTCTAAGAAATGTACAAATATCAGGAATAGCAGTAGCATGATCATTAAAAGAGAAATATACTGGTAATAACAGTTTAATAAATAATAACAAGAAAATTTTAAAAAGTAGTAAAGTTCAATTCATATTCAAATGTTCAATGGAAAAAAATAGTGCGTTTTTTTTTTTTTAGATAAGAAAGCAGGCTGGAGAGAATCTAAAGTTAAATATCATCAAGGGATATTGTCGAGAAGGAGGCATCATGCTTAGTGGAACTAGCAGCAGGCCGAGAATTTTTTGTGATGAATGTGAGAGAGTGAAAAGGTTAAGCAAAGTTCTGAATTCTTAGATTCAGGAATTCTCGATACTACCGAAAAGAGTGTGAAAGATGAGAGCGGTGATAGAAGAGAGGAAGAATTAAAAGATGCGGTAACTACGGCACTGAAAATCCAGCTTTTTTAAAATTTTTTCTTGGTTGGGGTTGCTGATAATATTGTCAATAGTAGCTTGAGTGAAAGAGACGAGGGAAGTTAGGCACAGGGATCGAGAAGTGATTGGCAAGTAATCTTCCTTCCTTCTCCCTGTGAAGGATAGATTTACCTTTGTGGAACAGTTGTTACATTTTAAAAATTGTTTCAGACTTCTATTGCTGAGCTTTGCATTAAGAATAGCTTGATGTTGTTACCTCATCTGGAAAATCTTTGAAATGTGCTTGTGGAAATTCAGAATGTGCAAACTTGAGTCCATTATCTGAATTTGACTTAGTCCATTGAACTTATATTGCCTAGAAGTTACATCTTGGTACTTTTACGGTCGAGTTTTGAATAATTAGATGCAGATTATAGATCATTTCTACAGATAATTTCAGTCTCATATACGAAAGTTTTAGGTAATTGCTTTTCTTTTATGATTTCAGTTTTTGCTCCTAAAATTGGATTCGAAAACGCCAAACAAATATATTTACTTAGATCATAGAAATATATCTTATAATGTTTAAAAGAATCAGACATTGTCAAGCATCTTCTGTTTTTGTTTTTTCCTTCAAGCGGTCGTAGTAGAACAAATAAATTAGTAGATGATAATCAAGCTTACTTCCTAATTTAGAAAAATTTGAAATAAAAGCATTGTTTAGGGAAGACAAGGAGAAGGAAAGATGTTGCAAGAAATAAGCGACCGTTAAAGAACAAATTAATTCATTGCACTATTAGTGGTGTCACAGATATTTTTGAGAATCAATAGCCTATTGAATTATAACATTTCAAAGAAAATAAAAAAAGGTGCCGCACTTGAAATTCACTGAATAAAGGAAAGATTTCTTCTCTATTAGTTACTAATATATTTGGTTTCTGAAAAGAAATAAGAAAAATTGGCAAAAATTATCAGTGAATTGGAAGTTTAATACTGTAATTTGTCTCCATCAGAATTTTATAGAATTTCATTGATCTCACCTACCTTCACCTCTATTAGAATTCATCACCTGCAGTTCTTTTTGTTTGATAACTAATAATAAAACATAATAAATTCTGCTGATTTTTCACTTCTGTTTTCTAACTTCCAAAACAGAAATGTTAAGTAAATTGACCTACATCCCCGATATACTAGAGGTATAGATAAGAAGGACGTGAAAATATTAAAAAATCTATTAAATCTTCATTATCATTATAGAAATAGCGGCAAATAAAATTAGTGGGAATTGATAAGACTGAAGAAGTATTCGATTAGAAGTTGTAGATAACAAAAGAGTGAAGAATTTCTCAGATTCATTAGGGAATAAAGAAAATTAGCAATAGATCATCATTAGCTGAGGGAAATAAGGACGGTATCTTTGATGGTAACAAAGATTGATGAGATTAGCAAAGTTAAATTTGATGAGCAGTTGGGAAATCAGTAAGTATTTACGACTCTCCGGTATTACCAGATTGGATATAAGATGCTGCTGGAAGAATGTGATGCAAAAAGGTAACTAATCGAATTACACGGCCAATCTAAGGTGCTTTTACTTTTCCTTCGGAATCGATTTTCTGAATCAGTCTTATCTATTACAATTCCTTTCTTATCAAGCCTCTCATTTAACTTCAAAAAATAGTCAAAAATGAAAGATTAATGGACTTTTCAAAATGTTAAGTATTCTAACAGTAACAAAATTGAAAAATAATGAAACAGTTTAAGAAAATTGAAAAATGATCAAAAGCTATAAATGATGCTGGAAAAGGACAGAATTATCACTGAACATTGCTACTGAACTGATAATCGAAAAAAAAAAAGAACCAACGATTAAGCATTAGGACATTTTCAGAAAAATGAAAATTCCATTAAGTATAGGAAAAAAATTACTTTCATTATGCGTTGAGATGAAAATTTTCGCAACTTAGGTCACTTACTATTGATCTTTATATAATCGTTGTAAAAGTAGCCATCGACAGATGTCACCTACTATCCGTCGATCATGGCGAAATGTCTTTTTTGCACAATCTGTTTCTTTTCTTTCTTCAAATAAAACTTGTATCTTTTTTCAATTTATATGCATCTTACTTTTGAAAATTTCCAGATCTCACTTTCCTTGATCAAAACAAATGAATTGCACTGAAAACGATCCTTATTCCATACGTAGATGATTAGGTTGAAAGTATACTTATATCATTGTATCGCCTTAAGGTTCAACAAAGTAAGAGTTCATGCTTGCAGGACTTTTCGACGTGTAATGTCAAATATTCATCACTTTGTAGCACTGTTCCATTTATTAATCTACAATCCTATTTTGGGAGATCTGGGGCAGTTGATCATGAAAGGTAATGTTTTTTGGGAAGTAATAAGAGCCGTTTACAAGTATCTTCCTCTTTGACACAAAAACAGTGACATTTTCTTTTTTTTAATATTTAAAATATTACAATTTTCGAAGGAACATGAGGAACGATTATTACTGATTTAATCATTGATCATGTGAAATTAGCAAGCACTACCATTGTGTTTTTTATCAGAAACTCTTTTCGGCCTCTTTTGAATTATAGATCTTTACTAAAGTTAAACTAAAAATTTTTAAAGACATTTTATTACTTAGTTTTATAGCCATTGTGCACTAATAATAGGAAAAACAATACCAGCATGTCAACGATGCCGAAAAATTGAACCACCAAACTGTTCGATATTCATCGGTTTTGGCTGCTCGGAACCTACAATCATCTATGACGATCGCGGGGAATGCTTAAGAGCAAAAGCATGGTGTGGAACTAAACAAATGGCAGTACTTGGGACTATCATCGAGTAAGTTCGATAACATCGTTATATTTCGCTGATATTTCTTCAAAAATAACTGATTAGCTTTCGAGATCTGCTGCTATTTACACGATTAGCCAAGAAGTTACGTCACATTGAACTTTAGGACACAAGCCTAGACTGCTGCTATTATTAGGATTTTCTTTTTTGATATTCCTATGATTTTTTAAATCTTTAACATGAGTTTGCAAATGATTGCATTTCTCCGTGTAACAGTTTCACAAGGATAATTGCAGTGAGTACGATTTGTATTTTTTGGATAGATTACATCAGGATTGGTGGTCATTGTCAGAAGCAGAAGGTCTACGAATGGTCATCTATGCAAATTGTACGGAACAGGAAGATTGGCTTACAGTTGCTGAACTACAGACTTATAAATCTCAGAATGTTACTGTAGATAGATTATTTTGTTTTCAATAGAGATTGCACTTCTTGCTAATTGTTATTCTTAATCGAAAAAAATCAACTTTTTATTTATAAAATTCGTGTTTAAAATCGACTTAATTAAAAAAATCAATAATGCCAAAACTTGAAACAGAAAATATTATCAATTACCATAAGTATGTGATGTTAAATAAAATTGTACCAACTAGATTAACAGATCATAAGTCTCTTCAAATTCTTTCAGTTATCTCTATATCTAACTTTTAATACATTATCTACTATGATAGATGTTTATTCTCAATATTCTTATTATTTTAAAAACAAAATTTACTAAATTTGCTGTTAAAATTATCCCAAAAGCAATCACCATTCACTCGACCTCATTTTTAAACAACATTGATCCACTAATAACTCTCTTATAATGTGACCTCTTCCCTCCGATCAATTGTAATCACCTTCCTTGATTGTTCTTCTTCTCCCACTTCAACACCTAGCATTTTGTTCACAACCATCCCAGCATGTTGACTTTTCGGCTTCTATTCATTTTCGACATTATACGAATTTCACAAACGTGTCTTCCAAACACCAAACGTCTTTATGATCAAGAATTTGACGTCAAACCAGTACTCTCAATTAACGATCTAGAGGATATTGTTACTGAACTAAATGTCACCAATTATCTCTATCAGTACTATGTGCAAAAAAGACTTAAAAATGAAGGTTAAATTTCTTTTGTTATCGAAATTTCATATATGGTGAAGTTCTAAAAAGAAAGCAGTGGTAGATGATAAGGATGATAGTACATCCAAACCGTCTTTCTAGTATCACTCAGACTATTATAGATAGTTTGATCCTATTAACCTTTGAGGATTTGTCACCCATGTCACTCAGAGGAAGATGTAATGAACAAAATGATAGAAGTGATACGTTGATAATGTCGCTGCTGTAGCGCTGATGTTAATGCTAATGATAACGCAATGATAATTATAGCATGTCATGCATGCCCGGAATTTAAATCACCTAATTGCACCATTCTCAAAAAAGGTTTGAAGTGTGTGAAACCTAAAATATGGTACCATCACGACAGCTATTGTTTGCATGCTGAATTTGCTTGTAATCGCAGTTTTCATGCGTTGCAAGGTCGAATAATCGATATAATGCAATTAGAGTAAGTTGCACTATTTCAATCATTTAGCAATCATTTTTTATCAGTGATATTAGTATGAACGACTGAGATAATTTGTAAAGAGACGGAAACATCATTTGAACAAGAGTGAGAGTGGGAGAAAACTTCGGATTTGGTAATTTGAGATTCCTTTGGGAATTTCATAAAATCTCTTTCAAAAAGTAGGAATGCTATTGTTATTATAAAATTATTTTACTTTTAGTGATTACGCGGACTCAAGCGAAGATGATACAAAACACGAGACGTACGGTGTGCATCAATTACACAGATTAGATGAAAGAATTCAGCGTTTTCCTATAAGAGGATTTAAGCGTCTTCCACGTGAAAGTCTATATTGCATGACTGATAAACGATGGTACTACAGATCCAATCACTCACCTATTATCATTCGAACTGATCAGATTTTTTGCTTGTAGATGGATTTGAAGATTATATTGTACTTGAACTAAAATTAAACTGTATTTCTCGTTTGAAATTAAATAAATTGAGACTGAGTAATTGTATGCATCTCAATAGCAGAAAGCTTATTTGAAAACCAAAGTGCTAAATGAACAATTGGCAATGAATATTTAATTGACCAATCTAAAAGCTATTTAAAGTCTACTGGAAGAATAATAAGATGTTGTCTCGGTTAATGGAATTTTCAATTCTGGTTATTGACTGATACACTTGTTTTTTTTTTTAAGTTTAAATTATTTATTTTTCATAATTTTATGGAACTGACAAAGTTCGTAAGTTATTTTCAGCAAAATTATGCTTTTTAAGCAAATAATGAATTGTTTTTCTACTTGGTAATATCGGATCTGTAATAATAATAAAAGTTAATTTTTCATTTCATTTGGAAAATTATTGCAAATTAAGAAAAAGAGAGAGAGAGAAAAAAAAAAGTCTCGTCAGCCAAGCTATCAAAGTTACTGATAACTGAATAAAATGAAACGTAATGTTTTGCTTAAATAAGTGAGCAAGTTTTAGTTCATTAAAGGTTAAATAAATTTAAGCATATTAAACTAAATGAAAGCAGTAGCATGTTTTAAAATGTTTATGGGTATGTGTTGTTATATCGTGATGTAGTAATGCAAACAATTTTAATGCAAATGTATTTCAGCTATCCATCAAATTCGACGTGTAGCTAACAGGTGGCGGCTATATGATGTAGAGACTATGGGATGAAATTATGGAATTATATGAAGAATTCACATTTCACTGGTGTCTGCCGTGGTGGATCCTGTCAGTATTTCGTCACCAGCAATCGCACATTCAAAATCCTTTAAGGATAAAGTAGGTTTGAATAGAAGAAATTAATGATGGATAATCGAAATGATATCCTATTAATTAGTAAATAGTTAGCTTTTAACAAATACTTTAAATCTTTCGACTTTCCGTAAAGCTCTTAAGCATAACAAATCTGAATTGGTTAAATATCAAATGCTTGTCACTTATTGGAAGCAAAATTAATTCTTAAGAAAAAGCAATAGAAGAATCGTGAAATTAGAAATAAAGATACTTTTTTAGAAAGGATTTTAATGCGCTGTCCGTTGCGTCTGGTGCGTGGATCGAATAATTCACTGAAGTAACTGTTTTCAAGAAAACGTGGACCAGACAAGCGGTTAATTGGGTCATATACCAATACTTTTGCCAATAAATTTAATGCATTATGATCAGCGCGTTTTACCAGCTATAAAATAAATGTTAATTAATTTGTCTCAGAAAGTGATCATTTTCTGAAATTCTTTATTGCATTAACTGTAGAGTTTTTAAGAACGAATCTGAACTTTGTGAAAAGTTTACCATTTTGAAACCGCTAGGATTTGGTTTCTTCATTATCTAAAAAGTTAACTGGTTAATAAGTTCTTAATAAACAATGTTACTAAAATAAATCTAACTTAACAAATTTGTAAAGGTCAAACCGAATGGATAATAAATAAATGACAAATTGAGAAATCTGAGAACATAAATACAATGAATAAAATGCTCAACTCCTTACAGACAACTTATACTAGAAGTTCGAAGTTTAATAGAGTTGAGGGAAGTGTAGAAGCACATCAAATTTTGCTAAATTCTCTTTGTAAACCTCCTCAAGAAGAGTATATATGTCATATCAGTTTGAAAGATGTTGCAAAAAATTCGAAACGAACATCATCACGAAAGTCATTGCTTTGAAGAACTTCAGTGGTCACTCGCATCGCTGCGATATCACGTGGACTTGGATATCCTAATATGTTGATGACAAGCTAGAAATGACACGATTGCAAGATTATTTTATTCAGTATATTAATTTGTTATGAAAAATAACCTGAAGCTGTTGATTAGTAGTTTGACCTGGAAATAAGACGTGGTTTTTCAAAAGTTCTCCAAATACACAACCGCATGACCATCGATCTGGAACAAATTCTATTATATTGAGAAGAGATCTTGTTGATATGAACAAACTATGGAGCTGAAAAATTACCATACTCAGACTAGACAGTTTGCATTTCATAAAAAATACTGCTGACTGAGTTCAAGATGGAGCCTCTTTTGTACGTAAAAATTGCTGAGATACAAGCATCTAACAGACTAAACAGTGGTAGACGGAGAAAACCGGTGAAAGCGTAACCAATTTCGCATCGGTATCGAATAGAGCCTAGAATGAGTTCTGGGGCACGATAATATCTGGTCACGTGGTAGTGATATGATGTCGTTTTGTTATCTATTATCTGTAAAGTGATCATACTATTCAGACAATACTTTCAGAACATTGGTAGAAAAATTATTCTTATTCGAGATCGCATGATAACTAACTTTTGAAGATCCAAAATCGGAAATTTTAAGCATTCCACTCTTATGATCTACCAGTAAATTTTGTGGCTTTATATCTCTGTGACAGACATTATTCTGCAATAAGAAGTAATCAAAAAATATGTTGAGATTTCTCAAAATTTTCTTTCTTAAACTATTAGAAAACAAACTTTTTCCAAATGTGCTTGCCCACGGAATAGTTGCCAAATATACAATTTGACATCCAAAATGCTTAGGGGACCATACCGTTCTCGAACCTCATATAAATTCATTGGAAAAAATTCAAAAACCAATGCCGTGCATATCTGTAAAATTCAATCACTCCGGCAGAATCAATATATAAAAAATTGACTATATCAAGTTCAAATTGCTAGGTACTTCATGACAGAAAGAGAAGATCAGCAATTTAAATCAAGAAATGTAACAAACCTTCTGATCAGGATATGATTGGCTGAATCTATATAACAGCTGAATAATATTTTTGTGATGCATACGGTTCAACATCATTAAAATTTGCACTTCCGTTGATCTGTGATTTGCTAGAAGTTTTCGTTTTAAAGTTTTGTTTAAACGAAAACTTCGTTTAAATTGACTTTCCGTCTACTATTGCTTCCTTATATTATTTGAAACTTTATGATTTTAGAGCCGAATTTTGCAAAAATTTGATATCTTTAAAAAGTAATTTGCTCTTTTTTATTTCATTCATCAACTTATCCTGCAATGTTAGCTAAATTAATGAAAGATTAAGGTTCTACTTCGGATAGCAATAACCCTGTTATATTCTTTGGATACAACAATTCTCACTTCCATTTTAATCTAGCATGGTTTTAAAACTCATCCTACTACTTTTAAAATTATCTCACACTGATTTGACCACGATTTTTTGACAGCAATCAATCGATGCTGTGGTTGTTTGAGCAGTCCCTTGTAAACATTTGAAAAAATTCCATTGGAAAAGAGATGAAGATCCTCCATTATTAGTTCCACCTGATTCTAAAATACGCGTCGGATTAAGTTTCTCATCAATAAAAATTATTGTCACTTTTAGTCTGACAACAAATTAAAACTGATTCTTACTAATCACATCAGATTTTACTCTGAAACAACTCTAATGGAAAACCGTTTCGCGATTTCCAAATTCTTCAGCAATCTGTCTGACTACATGAACTGTTGACATTGGCTGCTTCTTATTGATAAAAAAAATGAACAAAATACAATTCGACCCGCAATTATTATTTAAGTGTTACTCATTTATTTTGCATATGTATTAATTATTAGAATTTAACAATACACAGCAATTCAATATGTAAATTTCTCAGGTTTATTTTTTGCAGTAATAATTTTCTAAGTTCTGAGATTAAGACTAAAATTTCAAAACAGTTAGAATAGATGCTAAATGATGTTCAAACTATTCATGAGATTTTATTCTTTGAATACTAATTGGTATAATGTAGGGAGATGAAATGCAGTAGGTTATTTAGGCATACCAGCAATTTGATTGTCTGTTTAGGCGTAGAAAACACCAAAATGACAATGATATATAGCATCACTGAATGGAGGACTATCGTTTTTTGTTTAATTCAATTTAAGAATCAAAATGAAAAAGAAATCAAAATGAGAATCAAAATGAATAAGAATCATATAAGAATCAAAATGAAGTAAGTTAATTGAATTAAACGAAGGCCTTCCGTGTAAGTCATCGAATAAATTTCCTTTCTTTTATCATTTATAATACAGTTTTTATTTTGAATTCACTGTTCATTAGTATTGTATGCAATTCTTAAGGGTCAATGATGAAACTAATAGCAATCGGTGTTTCGACAATATTTCGTAGTATATAATCACTTTACGTATTCCGAAAGACAAGACGGAAAAAGTGAAAATAAAGAGATCCAAATGATAGCGATGAATTTTTAGCGTGTAGCTTGATATTTCAAGATTCACGTGATACCATTTATTTCTGAAACATTTTTATTTTCATTTCAATTATAACATTACATAACTTATGGGATTTACCAATTTGACAATCCTTCAGTTTGACCCTAAACCTAGCGATGATTTTTTGTGCTTCGTTTCCAGCCACTGAGGCGCAGATTGTAAGAAAAAAGTCAAAAGCGCAGGAATGTGATGAAATACGGCAATATGATATGCTCATTCTTAAATAAATTTCATTCATAATAAGATATCGTACATTTCTAAAGGTATACAGGGACAATGCGGAAGTTGGAAAAGGCCTTATTGCGCACATTTCATTACCAGGCTAACTTAAACTTTCCTACTGTGTTACTTACCTTCTCTGTACTCTTTCCTTCATCCCTCTTCTCCTTCTCGTCTTCCTTTTTCTTCTCTTCCTCTTTCTTTTCGATATCCTTACTGCCATTTTCCTTCTTTCCTTCTCTCTCATCTCCCTTCTTATTGTCTTTTTGATCTTTTTCTCCTTCTTTCATTTCTCCTGCACTCGGTACAATGGTTTTTGCCTGAAAATATTTTAAACCCTATTCTTTGTATGTCAGATGAATATTAATGTATAGCATACCTGAGATATGCTTGCTACCTGCTTTATCTGTGGTAAGGTGAGAGCTTGACCAGGAGCACAGGCTACTTCTGGACAAGACCGCACGCAAGTTGGACCTGGAGGAACGCGAAGTTGTTGAAAAGTAACCTGGAATTTTCAATATTTTAATGCTTAATATGACAGGAATGCCTGAAATTCTTTAAAAAAGTTATTATGGAATGACATTTATTCGATTGCACATGAAACTGTAGCGAGTGTAACAAGACAGTTTGACATCACTAATTTGTTTAACATACCTATTTTCTGCGATAATTTATTGACTTATTTCGTAAATTTATTTCAGACTTTCAGTAAACCTGTAAGTCGTCGTCGATACAAACAACGGCACCTGCGTTATTAAACAGTCCGGCATAATTTGGGGCAGAAAATATAGTTATCAGTTTCTCACCAACCATCAATTCGTATCCGTCTTGTACAACCTCAAAACTTTTTTGGTCCGAGAAGATTCGACCAGCATATTTATTCTCATATCTTTCATGTTCAAAGAAAAATGTTACCTGATGAGCCCGGATGACAAGATCAATTTTTAGCAGTTTGCAAGCTGCAAGCAAAGCACCTTTGCCGAATGAATAACTGAGGCCACGTGGGGAGTAGAACCATCCATCTCCTTTATTTGTCGGATCTGACCAAACCAAATCGATTAACAATCCACGATCCTGAAGTTTCATTTACAGATTTTATTAAGTTAACAAATAATAGACGAGATATACTAAGAAGATTGTAACTGCTGTTGACACTTACCAATGGTTCGCAAGGACGTTTAATTTGACGGATTTGTTCAAGACTGGTAAGATGCGGTGATAATCCACCATGCATGCAAAGGACACGTTTAGAGATAAGTCCAGCCATGGGCATACGATTGAAGAATGATTGGAAATCCCACCACAAGCCAACGCTGAAGCACTTTTTTAGATATTATTTCGAAAGATTTTACGGAAACGATGAAAATGTCTCAGAATATTTCCAATTTAAGCCATTAAATAGCTAACCCATATTTAAGAGCACATTCATTATAGAAGCCATATATACGATTTACTGCTGGCGTCTCGTGATTCCCTCGAAGCAAAAAAATGCGATCTCGATATTTCACTTTCAAACATAACAAATAAATTATTGTTTCAATGGACTGCGGTCCACGATCAATATAATCTCCCAAGAAAATCATTTTCACTTCTGGTACTTTGCCGATTATTCCAAATAGTTTATGCATATCCTGGTTTTATATTTCCAATTTAATAAAAATAAAGTTTAGTACTTGCAATTCAGATGGAACACGATTTAAACAATTTAAAATGTGAAAGTTCAGCGGATGAGCGGTCAGTAGGGAAGCAATTTGTCTTCTTAGTTCTTCTTTTTTCCAATTCAAATTCTCTAAAGTTTTGAAAACACAAGGTATATATCTAAGCAACTATTGAGAGAAATAAAGAAGTGCGAAAGGTGATTAGTTTGCTCACTTCGTACTGGCCATGAATATCGCCAACCACTTTGATCGGCACTTCAACTTCAACCAACGAACCTTCTTCCATCATAATTAGCCCAGCAGTGGACATTAACGCCAGTATTTCTTCTAATGTTATTTTTTGATTCATTTGAATCTCCTGAAGATTTTTAGTTTCTCACCCATCACAACTCCTCAATAGTCATTTGTCTGTGCATTAATTAACCTGCGGAAATAAATTGTCTTAATTTTGAACATGCTAGTCACTACGAATAATGAGCAGAACATCTGTTTCAGAACAAATTAAGAAGGGTGTGCGTGTGGGTATACATTCTATGTGGGATGCATATTATTATCATGCTTTAAGACATTAATTGTAAACTTTTGGGTAAGAATGGAATATCAATTTGGTCAGGGTAAACTGATTTACTTTTTTGGTACCCATTTCTTCTAGTACAGCTATCATTTTATCCAATGTTTCTGCTGTAACACTTGCTGCCATCGCTTCGCTTTTGCTCTTTTTGCAATGATTTCAACCAATATCCGAAAATTGTACTGCACAAATAAGTGTTTACTTTAATTGACTATGATCTTTTTCGAAATTACAGGATAGAGAGAGTAAAATAGAGATGCCGCCAGATGCCAGTATCAGATGATAAAATAAACTAGTAAAGTTGGAACCGTATTATTTTATTCTTTCAGAATTTCGCAAGTTTCTAGGTTTAATTTAAATAATCCATGAAAATTTAATACGACATTTAAGGCAGTGTTGGTGAAAATCTGAGGAGGAAGAAAGTTAAGTGATATATGTTCTGCAACTAACGTTTCATTTGACAACGAATTTCATTAATATTTTTGGAAATAAAATTTTTGGAAAATATCGTCATTAATTCTGTAAATTGGCATGAAATGTTTCCTGTGTAGACATGACAGTTTAGAAGTTGCATGACAAAAATGTTCATGAATAACAGACTTCTCGATGCTGTGCTCTCAAAGTGCTGTTGTACGTCACGCCTAGTCAAGCTAAGTTAGTTTGTTTGTTAGAACTGGTTTGATTAGTCCTCATGTTCTACTACAGGTATTAAATTATCACCTACAATCTTTCTGCTAAAATATTCATAAAATAAATCGAATGCAAACTTGTCACACAGGGAATCAGAGACACAGGAAAATCTCTGTCTACCTCCATTCTTGCTTTTTTTGCTTAGTTCAAAAATTTTTATTGAACGAAACAAAGGAACCAAAGGAACTAATGCGATAACAATCAATACGCACTCAGCAATGCATGAAGATAGCAGTAACGGGTTTCCTGCAGGTGGTATTTGTCGTTGTGTCGCACGCCTATGCCATTTCTCCTGCTTTCTCAATCATTACCCTTCTCTTTGCTTTTATTTGTCAAGCAGTTATTTAACTTTAAAGTTAAGATTAATTCAATTTTCCAAGCTCATAATGCCTTGTGAATTCTGGCTTACTACTATCACCGAAATTATTTCAGCGGAAGTAGTGAAGTGAAAAATATCGAAAAACCTAACAGGAAAACATCCAATAGTTGTGCTGGTAAATGATAGAACTTCAGCGGCTGTAAAACATTTCGTATGAGAAATTCAGAAAATCCCTCTTATTACACATTCTCCATTACCCCTCACACGTAGATAAAAGACTTTAAAAATGATAGTATATTTGTGTACAGTAAAAGGAAAATGGAAACAATGAAAAGGATAAAGTGACTCGAAGATGAAGTAATGCTGTTTCCAGATCGTTTCAATTTGAAATGATCTACCGAAAATTCAGGGGAAAAAACTTTCCTAAACTAATGTTGACATTAGCATTATTCCAGTAGATTTGTTCATTAAAATTTTATTCTAAGCTAGATTTTTTATCATAAATTTTATAAAAATCTATCCATGCTTTGTTACTGGCAGTCACTCCTCCCCACCTGTCGTTCAGGAAGCGCCAACCTTACCCATACTACCTTACCCTTTGGGCAGCTTTACAACCAACTTGTTTGATTTATTTACTGTGTTGCATACTAGTTGCATGCTGTGGATTGCGAAAATATTATTTTTAGAATGTAATTTACTGTGTACTTGATGATCCAAAAGATGCGTTGTTTGGATAGGTTTCTTTTAGAATACTTCTAAATATCAAAAGGAAGGTTTGTTCACTATCTGAGTCATATTAATGTTGAATAGTATTTTTGTTTAAAAATCTACCAAGGATATAGCATAACTTATCTATATATACCACTTGTCAACGATATTTAAACTTAATTAAAATTTATCAAAAAAATATTCGTTATCTATCTCCTTACGGTAGGGATAAGTAAAATGCCCACTGTTCACTGAGCAATATGCATTGTGAACGAAGGTCAAAGTTGTGGTAGTAGTCGTAATTGTGAAAAAAAGAAATTCCTGTGTTTCATTCGTAAATTTTCCCTTCGTTTTTTTTTTTTTTTTGATATTTTATATGCCAAATTTCTTTTAATATCACAGACTGTTTCGAACAAAATTCACATCAAGCAGATATAATTCATTTTTTCCAATACGCAGGACGACACATTTATTTTCTTGAAGAAGTTATGAGAATGCCATTGTTGTTTGCTTTTCAGATTAGTTTATTAATTAAAGAGAATGTTTGAAGATGATCCGCCACCACTGCCTCCAGCTGCATGTATCGAAACCTCATGCGATGCTACCTTTGCTGATTTAAGCGATCGTAATCGGTTTACTGCTGTTGCGGATGATGATTACAATGGGAATGATGCACATATGTCAGCCGTACTTCAGACTGAAACAGATTCGGAATTTGTAAATTGCGAGATGGCATTGCCTCATACTGAGTTTATAGAAACAGGCGAAACTGCAGATCGCGCTCATAATCTTGTTACAGAAACTATACTGCATAGCAATTATGATGGAAAGCAGAACCCTTTGTCTCCGTCTTTGCGATTTCGATCTCCTCAGTTTGCACGATGTTCTAAACCTCAGCATTTATCGCCTGATATTTTAGGCTGCCCTGAAGAGTCGGATTTGGTAAAGAGCTTCGTTACGGCTGATTTTGTTAAGGTCAGTATTCAATTGTCAATAGGTTGATTATTGCATATGTATTTCTCATAAACTTCCCCTCAATGTTTAGTTAGTCGATTCAGGTGGATGGAGCACACGATATTCAAGCCTTCGAAAAAGGGAGAGAGGAATTAATCCCAGCAGAAAATATGGAAAACGAGACAAAAGACAGTTCTAAGTTGGAGAATAACGATTTGAATGGTGGAAATGAAAAAGTTAAAGTTACGCAAAGTACTTTGGAAAGCGATAAAGATGATGATGAGTTTGGTGATTTCGAAAAATTCGCTAAAACGGTGCATATTCATTTTTGCTCATTAAATTCTAATTAAAGGAAAGGTACCAATGTTTCTCAAATTTGACAATGTATCATAAGCAATCTTTTTATATCTTCCCATGTTTCAGGAGAAAACTGAGGAAAATGAAAATGATAATTGGGCAAATTTCGAATTTTCTTCATTGCCTGATATGAAAAATAAGTCGACTGCAGATTTTTCGTTTTTAGAACCGGAATTGCAGTTAACCACTGAAAATGTAAGTTTATAAATTAAAAAAAAAAAAAAAAATAGATAAGTTGAAATCATTTTCTTACACCTATTCATTGTTTATTAGAGTGATCTTACGGAGACTTTAGATTGAACTCTGTTTGATAAGAACTGATAGGACTGATGGAATATAAGTCATCATCCGTTATTTAGCATCTTCTACAATTATTCAATACTTTCCAGTAACACATCGTTTTATTACATGTCTCCTCTTTATGCAGTTGATCTCTTTTGCATTATATTGCCATGAAGCAATGATGTCTTAAAAAAAGTGGTTTGTTGATTATTACGGATTGAACTAATGATTCAAAGAATTTACATTTTGAAAACTATAATTCTGGATTATTTTTTAGCCATTATTGCCGTCTCTTCTGGAAAATTTATGCAATGATCAACTGTGGACAGTAATTGCTGTGGATGAAGAAAGCAACGACGAGCTGCATGATACTCATGACAGCGGCATATACGAAACATTAAATGATGCAATAAATACAAAAGACAAAAACAGGTGAAAATTTTCTTTTCTTACATGATTCATGATAAAATTTAGAAAGTCTAGAAATCAGTAGCAATACTTATTTATGTTCTTCAGGCTTAGCATATGCTTTTAGTAGAAAATTATATATAGTTTTATGATTTTTTCACTTCATCAAAAATTTCTGTTTTGTGAAATAATCATTTCGCTAATGAATGAAATTCAAAACAATATTTGTGATGTATACCCAGTAATGTTCCAGTCCCGCTTTAATGCATGTTTAGGCCTGATGAAATGCTATGGATAGCAGTAAGCATTATTGAGGAGGCGCTAGCGCTGAAATTGCAGTGGCACAATTCACTGATCCGCAGTTGCTTTTTATATTCACTGGATATTGATGTGAATCAAGTCCGTTTGTTATTTTTTAATACAAAAAAGTCTTTATATTCGAGTATTACTCGAATATCATTTTTTTCTTAATAAATTGTAAGATTGCAATTTAAAGACACAAAGACTGTAAAATATTATAATTACATCATTCTTACGAATGAATTTCAAATAATTTACCACAATTTAGGCAGTATCCTTTCCTTCTTTCAGACTGTTATTCGAAACTCAGATCTTCCAGTATTTGCACAACAGCTTGAAGAAAGTTCAGTTCTTGCACCAGTGTCTGTGGTCGAAAGTTGCACTAGGGTTACATTAGCAGATGAAAAAAATTCGTAAGTTTTGCAAACTCAGTCCGTAATGTTTCAGTCCTTATCCATATCTAACAATACTTTAGTTGTCATTTTTATAAGTTAATTATCATTTTTAGGCTTCCTCAATCAAATTCGGCTGAGTTCTTACCTCATGCAGATATCAAAAGGTAAGTTAGAGCTTTTCTTGCTTTTATATCTGCTTTGTTTGTCTTTCTAAGAGCCTCCTTCGAAATTTTGGATTAGCCTGAACATAGGTTATGTCAAATATTTGAATGAGTTAATTTGCTCGAATTCCTTTTTTGCGTCTGTTTTCACAATGTTCATTAATTTTTCGTTTACCTCGTCTACCATATGATATAAATGCTTTATTAGTTATTTCTAATGTGCTTTTTATTGACAGTATTTATAGGAGACGGAAACAATGTTTGTTGATGTAAATAGAAGTATAGACTTGGAGAAGTTTACCAGCATCACTGATTGCACTTTACATTTATAAGTTACAGGAAGAGGTCAGATTGTACTGCTTACAGGTCTTCAATCGGTCAGCAGGCACCTTCAAGATCCATTACTGTTGATTCGTTGGCCGTCCCACCAGTGCACTTTGACTGGAATAATTCCGGTCTAACAAATCCTCTTAAAGCAGGATGTATGTTCTTTTTTTCATTTATTAATAGAATATTGTTCGTCTTCTGCATTTGATGATCTTTGGTGTTTCAAGTGATTTTTATAGTTTTTATTGATTTCACAAAGAGATGCAAATCTCGAGAGTGAGTAGACACTATTTATTCAACCTTCATGTCGGAATTTAGTTGTAGTATAATAACTTTAGCAAGACAGCTTTCGTAACTGAAAGTTAAAGATGTTCTCTACTTCTTTTAGAACTGATTTATATCCAATGAACAGGCATTCCTCCAGGAGAAATTTTTTTTTTTTTTTGCAGCATTAAATGTATCGTCTGCATCACTAGACTTGGATTTTTTGGTATCCACGAGTAGTAAAGGCTTACCTGCTAATGGTTCGCCAACCGTACAAATGTTCTCAACATTGCAGAAGGTTCTATTTATTATTTTCTAAATTGTAGTAATTAGATAATAAACCTTGCTGAAAATTTTTTTGATATTTGAAATAGAGATGATGCAGCTTGTGTTTCGTATTTACCATTGTACAACATATTGCTTATGACAGTGTTATCATTGTTTTTGGTAAAAAATGGCAACAAGTGCAGGCATGAGAAGCATCGAAATCAAAACTGATAGCCACATGCCAATTTATGCATTGGAGGAATTTCTACATCCTTAAAATCATGATTTGGTATTAAATAAATTTACTGGTGTCTTACAGGATCTTACTGCGTTTGGTCTAAATTTCCCGGATGATGCTGGAAACAGCAAAAGTGAAAAAGATATTCCAAGCAATACACAGTAAGTGATTTATTTGCATTATGCGGCGGAAATCAGTTAATCTAATTAATTGATCTTTTTCTAACCGTTGGAGAATGCATTGTATTTTATAATGCAAAACGCATCTTCTTGTCATAATTTTCAAATGTTAAAAAACTGCTGCTTCTACTGAAGATAAGCTATGTATGCCATGAATTGTTGAATTTTTCAGTGTTGTTTGCAGAAAATGGTTGTCAGATATTTTATGCTGTTTGTTACGAACTATCAATGTTTATTTATTCCAGAATTGTACTGGATTACGTACTAAACAAAAATGGTGATAAACGAAAATATAAGCCAGTGAGCGAACTTTCACTTGATGCTCGGGCTCTTCATGACCAGTTACCGGACCTCGATTATATGCTATCCAATGTTTTACTTTTCCCTATCGTTGATCGCTAGCTGATGGATTTTACGTGTGGTTAACTAGATTCATCTGATAACTGTCATATGGATGTTTTTCTCGGTGAATTTTAGAATTCTAAAGCACTCACATTTCCTTTTTATATTTTTCTTACAACAACTGTTTTGTTATTTGATATGGGCTTTCTTGTCATTGAATTTTTATAGACATATCTTTTGATACGGGTAATTTGTGCTTTGTTGTGATTTTTTAAAACTTCTTTATTGAATAAACTGCGTGGAATGGATTTTTTTCAGCTCAAATTTTCAAGACTTTGAACATCGATGTTTGTTGTTTTGTAATTCATCAATCTTGTGTATTCTATTTTTATTTTTTTTGCTCGATTATGATTATTTGTAATGAAATATAAGAGCTTGTACAACAAACATGTGTAATTTGCTGGAAAGTAAAATTAAAAAATCTCGGATTTCCCGAGAAATGCTGACATGATTGTGGCCTTTTTATGGAGCTAGTGCATTTTGTTTTATGATTATATAATTTTAGGGATTGATTTATCTGCCACCTTTTTGTTTGCAATATTAATTGCGATGAGTATTGAACTGTTCAACAATAAATCCCATTTAAAGTTATTTCTCATCAATTTTCATTTAATCAATTAAGTGTCAAACTTTATCATGCTTATCGGTATATGATGAATTTTGAGCGGTTAGAATGTGTGAGTTACATTTAGATCAAAATTGATTACTTCAGATTTTGTATTGGAATCATTCTTTGATAGACGATTCAACAGAAATGATATGTATTTGGGTGTTATGTCCAGTACTCAGTACAGACATAGGGGAGTTTTTTTCGAAAACTCTGACAATTAGATTTAACTTGATGAAGGTTGAAATTGAACCGTATAACTTGATATGCAGGTAGATGAAGTCTTCTACAAGTTTGTTTGAAGTTCTACTCGCATGCCAGCACTACTTACTTCATGATCATATTCACTACAAAGCAGCACTTCAACTATCAGTCCATGAACAGTGAATGATCAATGTGCAGTAGTAGTACTAGTGAGTGAGATATGGCAGAAATAGAAGAGAAGGATCTCTTTGAACTTTGCTGGCGCCAATATTTCCAATTCTCAATGTCTGTTATTTTTATAACTAAATGAACATTGGTTCACTTCACACTACTTCCGTTAACTTATTGAACTTTGTTTATTCCTTGGAAGAATTTTTTGAGGAAAAAAAACGAAATCTAACTAGACTGATTCATACTTCAATTTGATACCGAACTAATGACAAATATGCACATTAATTCCAGAAAAAATCGGGATTTATGATTCTGAACTGATGAGATGAGTTTTGTCATCCTTTTTTCAGTTTTTTAACTTTCCGGCATCATACGAATCTCATCCTTAGATTAGAGCAATGATTTATAGCGTGTAAATGTGTTCAGCTTTAAAAATCTATTCTAGCAAATTTTTAAATTTAAAATAAGGCTATTAAGTGTTCCAAAATTTGAATTGTCATTTATGATCTATACTCATAGTTGAAATTTCAACGGCATATTTGTTTTATGCAAGCAGGAAGTTATTGTGAATTGATTTACATCAATTGTTTAATTCAACTTAAGTTCCGGATTTGTTTTATTAATTGTTTAAGATAGTTTATATAATCCAAGAATGAATTATTACTTATGTTGGCTTGACAGGATTTATAAAATTTGCGATTATTAGTTATTTTTGTCCGAATATTTCTCCTTATTGAATATTAGTGGTTAAATCAGAATGTTTCGATTCCATTTTATTTCATACCAACTACTTGTAATGAAGTTTTAGAAATAGTGGCTCTTACAAAATCCAATGAAATGGAGGGTTAAATAGCTTACACCTCAATTATTCTAGCAATCATATCACGTTTGATATGATAAAGATATAAAATGAAGGTAGGAAGTGATCTTCAAAGTGAGCAATAATGGTGTAAAGGTTGGCATGATCTGATTTGATCTGATCTGATCGCCTTGATCTATCGTTCAGTTGTTCGGGCCTTAATACAATAATCAACAGTTGATCGACTGAATGGCGACTCACCTAGTATTGGAGGAAAAGAATGGACAACGCAACGTTGACTGATTGTCGGCGCCTTAAACCGATCACTTCGAGCATTCTCATTGGCGCCTCTCAGGAGCCACTTCTAAAAAGATATCAGCTGTTTTCTGTATATTCGCCCTCATTTCAGCAATTTCAAATAACTTTTTTTTCACTCCAAAAATTTGTAGCAGATTTGTTATTAAGTGAGTAACTATTCATAGCGGTTTATCAAATTTTCAAACGTGTTGAAGTTTGTTTTCCAACAACATTACAAATTTGAAAATATGAACAATGGAATTGTTTATTTCCTTCATTATTCTTTTTATCAAGCTCCTTATGCAGATTAATTATTTGATGAAAAAGATGTCATTTGAAGTACCAATACACTTCATTATTATCTTGAATATAAACCAATATAATTAAAACAATTTCTATCCAAAGAACAGAATAGCCAGCATCAAAAAACAGTAATATCTAATAGAACAAATGTCTACTATCAATTTTATACGAACACAACTTCATTTATCCAACGAATCAATACATCATTCGTAATAGTTTTAATGTATAAAAATTTGATATACTAAAATTCTGAAATAAGAGAAAAACCTTAAATTTTGGAAAGTTTTTACTTTGTTATCGAGAATTTTGGGACAGAACTATGAAGCATTTGTGTAAATATAACTGTGAATATAGCAGTTAACTGAGTGAAATTACAAATGAATATTTAAAAAACTGAAACAGGAGGCAACTTTTTCGAAATAAATGAAATCTGTGAAGGAATAATGAATGAGAAAGGAGTTATAAGATAAATTTTGGAGCTAAGTGTAGAAATGCCCAATATGACGAATATAGAAAACATTTTTTTTCGATAAACAAAACAGTATAAATACATGTTAATGCAAACATAACATACATAATAATAAAAAAACGTGAGATCATCTGTATTTCATGAGAAAGCCAAATTTGTTTTTGATAGATATAAGCAAACAATTTCAAAATAAACAACTTCAAAGAACGTATGCTTCTTTTTTTTTTTTAATTTTGATAAGATAAACTAGCTGAACATTACAGTAGGATGAGGAAGAAGTAAGCTTACTAGAAACGAGAAGCTATGAAGTCCTTATATTTTGAGACCCATGCTAAAATTACAAAATGTCATTTTAATGGTAAAAATTATAACTTTAGAGTCGATGAAATTGATTTTTAAGTTTTCAAATCTTTGTCTGAATCTAACAGTTCGAGATTACTTGATCCCAATTTTGGGAATCTGTTCTAACAATTTATGTTCTTCTATTATTTTGCAAAATAATACGAGATTTTTTTTTTCAACTGGTCATGACTGAATGAATAACTACAAAAAACTCTATTTAGCAAGAATCCTTAGCACAAGAATTTCTTCAGTTCAATATCATTTCTAATTTGTTACCTACTTTCATTATTATTATTAAAGTTTATTATTAGAATTACTATGTTTTATTGTAATCAAATTTTTCCTTTAATAATTTTCCGAAAGTCCATAATTTGGATGTTATTACTGAACATGAAACCTCAAATTTGCTTTAAAAAAGAAGGCATAAAAAATAAATCAAATGGATGATTAGGAGAAGTACAACCTGGTTAATTACCGACCATCTTCTTCACTTTCTAGATTATTGCCGCCTAATGCGATACATTTACATTTTTTCACTTTGATTACTTTTCGCTTCAGTTCCTTTGGATTCTTCCTTGGACAGTCCAGTTTCACCTAATCAAAAGCAGAATCATTAAAATGTCTTTATTCATTTATGGTTAGATTTTTTGAAGAAGAAACTACTTTTCCTTCTTCGATTGCTTTCCAGCACTGAGTTTTTGAATTTGATTAAATAAATTATTGGCAGAATATTGAGAAAAATTTAGTGTTGCCTTCATGAAACGACACAAAAATGAAAATGTACCTCGATAGTATCCCACTCAGCTGGCCTACACACTGAACAGCTTTGGAACATAGCATCTAGTTTTAATTTTCGTGGCCTCAAACGTGGTATGAAATAAGAAGAACAAGTCCCGTGGCAAAATCTATTGTGTACTACCTGCAATTTCTTATTAACCACATCATTTTCTTCCTTGATTCTACACAATTAAACTATTTGGTCCATGTGAAGAAGTTTAATTCAATCTTTGATGCTAACTTTTCACAGTAAATTTATCTAAATACGATTTATTCGCCATTATTGGCCTCAGTTATAAGCTTAAAAAGCAGTTTGATAATATTTCGACATTCGGAAAGAATGAGAGAGTACTGACTGGAATAAATAATACCTACCTTTGATAAACAGCCGTCCATACGGATACGTTGCTTGAAAATTTGACCATCACAATGTGCTGTAGGTCTTGAATCATCTAATCTTCCTAAGCTCACTTCTTGATTCACTTGATGCAATGCTTCTTTTGGTGAAGAAATCATTTTCTTTCCTACAACAATAATACATAATGAAATAATATGAAAAGTTCAATTTCAAATTAAAATAAATTTCAAAAAGTTCTCTCGCTGCGTTGAAATTTCATTCCTACAAATGTTAGCTAATTTCTACCCTTTTTCTCGGATTTTAATTGCTTTCGCATGTATCGTTGGAGCCATTTTAACCGCTTCTGATCAAAAGTTAACAATGGCGGTTCAATGTAAGGTTCTGAATGCAATGAAATGAATGCTTTCTTTGCTATTTCATCGAAGACAGATCCATTTTCCTCTTTGTATTGAATATACCTATAAATTAGTTTTTGTTATCTAATTGGAAAATAAATTTAATAACAGCACGGATTAATTTCTAGGAGTTCTTCATTTCAGTTCATGGCTCTTCCTTAGTAATATGCTGTTATATTGTAGGCGCAAGAAGCGCTTTCTTTTACACTTCAAATGTGCCGCTGTATAATGATAATGAAATACATAAGAAGGTTTATTGCAAAAATATTATTTAAATTTATAACTGCTTAGTATATAAGTTGTCGGGAAGTCAGTCAACTTTATTCCCAGTAAATGCTTAAAAGAAGTCTATCATACTGAAAAGACAGGTCATAAATAGTGAAATTTAACAGTAACAAACAAGGATTAAATTTATTTTAATGACTATAAAGATCAGTGCTTTCAATTTCACTGGAACTTTCTCAAATATAATAGGAAAAGAATATCTGGATGGGAAAGGAACAGAGCAAACTCCCAGCGATGGACAAGAAAAACATTTCGAAAGATACTTTTTTGTTATAAAATTATGTTAAATTTGAAAAAAAAAAAACCAATCGAAAGTTATCCATTTCAATTTAGATTTAGATTTTTTTTAATTTTGGAGATAAAGGTCGATCTAACGAAATCGAAAAGTTGGCATACTTTTATTAATAAATATTAATGTTGAAATTTCCAAGAGAATCTAAGTTTTGAAGTACATATAAGTTTCTATTCCATTCTATTTCTTTATTTAAAGTTTAGAGCTCATAACTATTAACAAAATTAAAATGGATCAAAGAGAATTCTTAAACATTTCGTACTTACAGTTACCACTTTTTTTTGTTGTTTTGCTTTGTGTAATCTGTAAACAAAAAGTGTTGCCCTTAAATCATATGCATAAATTGATAGTAGCGTCTAATCACCAGTTAAAGTGGATATATCATTATTACATTCATAAATAAGCAATGATTGCAAAAAATTATTTGATTATTTTTTCCTCCGCTTCTAACTTATCAAATTGTGATCGATTACTATTGTTTATTAATACAAAATTTTTTGAATACTCTGAATAAGAATAAATTGGACTGACAAATCGAAGGGGCAAACTATTCTAGCAGAAATCATTTTTAATCCGAGGAAAGGAATGGGCTGTGTGTACATTAATATTTTAGAGCAAGAAAAGATTGCAGGTCTTCACTTAAGTGATGCTAAATTTCAGAGAGATAATTTAAAGGGTGGAGAAAATTATTCAGATAGATATAAAGTTGGGAAGAACGTGGGGATTTTATCAGTCTATAGGTTTAGCTGGAAAATGAATGGTTAGAAATGCGAAAAAGCAAAAAATTGAAATCAAACATTCAAATAACTTTGACTTGTGAGGTCTTAATTACAAATGAACTAAACGTTTTATGTTGTAAGTGATAAATCTTTTGTGTAAAATATAAAATGAGCCCAGAGGACATCGTCGTTATAATAACGATTTTTGCATCACTCAATTCTCACTGAAAATAAGTGACAAAGCAGTGATGTACTGATAATGAGTAGTAGATTTAGTCGTTCTTGATGGGATCCAACAATATACAACTAATTCAGCTAATGTTATTTCTCACTAATAATTTCAACTGAAATATACCTTTCGAAAGACGATATCACTCATTTCTCTACTAAATTTCATTTCTCTTTTAAGTAAAAATATTATCCTTTAAAAAAACCATCAATTTTAGTTAGTTTTAATTAACATTTTGCAATAATCTCTGTAAATCTCTGCAAAAAACGATACATTCATCTGGAAAAAGTTCAAATCTTCTCTAGATTTCGAATAGGAAATAATATTCAAAAAGAAGATTGTAGACTGATTTTCTGATCTTTAAAATGTATGTGTATCACCTGAAGATTAGAAAAAATTGTTCAAAAAAAAGTAATGCTCGTTACTGAGAGCTATTATAAATCGTCTGAGTACACTTTTTTACATGTGTAGCGTAAATTCAACAATTTGTAAGCAAAGTCCAAACTTCAAACTTCTTTTAGAGTTCGCTTCTTATCAATTGTCGAAAGAATTATTACTTGCATGTCAAAAAAACTGATAACTTAATGGTCCATCACAAATTCAAACTTTGATAATGCATGCAAATGACATGCGCTGCATTTGAAATGCTAGTATAAAGAGGCGCGCATATCTCATGCATGTAAAATTGAGGAATGTAGTTTGATGTGAAAGACTTAATTAAATTAGCAAGCCAGTTCAATCTGAAAAGTTTTTGAGAGAACAATAAAAATAAACACTAAAAGAAAAACCAATTTTGTTTTTTTCCTTTTTAGTTCATTTAATCTCTTCGGCCAACTTTCTCTACTTCATTTCAATTAATTTGCATATTGGTGAAATGCTCACTTGTAGTTAGGCTTTAAATTGTTATAATATACCTTAAGATATTTCTTAAATAGGTTTTTACATTTTGCACATTCCCAATGAAAGAAAATTTCAGTTTTAATATAATTATTTCCCGTTAAGAGATAGTATTAGCTTGCTCATAATTAGCTTTAGAGGAGAACATATTTAGAGATTTTCCTACTACTGAGAATATTGCTAACCGGGCAGAAGAGGTGGCCGGTGACTGTCCAACGACATCAATGTTGACGATCGGCGTACCGTTAGCATGCAGCAGTGAATAGTTACAAGGTATTAGTATCATCATAAATTTCAGTAGGAATGCAATAATAGTAAGGCTGGGCCTATCTGTAAAGGCCCTACCGGTTATACCAATTCGCATATCAATTCAGCAACCCACACTTTTTTCTCCTGTTACCACTATGTGTGTTGTTGACAGCACCGGAATTGATTTTGAATGGCGACAAATTGATGTGCGTTAAAATAAGTAAAATGGAAAATATTTGAGCAACAAAGTTGCCGTTTCTTTCCGTGTAGGACGTCAGATTGGGGAGCTGCAAAAAAATTCATCCTAAATTTAATAGTTCAATAGTTGCGGTTTCTTTTGAGTACCTAATATAATGATACATTGTTCAGTTCATTTAAAACGGTGAAAATAAGTGCGCGATCAAAAATGGTACTAAAATTGCTAACAGAAAGTTAATTAGAGGAACATTTAGCAATACTGCTTTTTCTTCTATGTTCTATTTTTTCTAAAGTGCCTCATATACGTAGAACTGCTCAAAATTTTTGAAATTAAGGTCGAAAATTGGAAAATTTATGAGAACTTTCAACAAATAAAGCAACAGTTAATTTCGGTAGCATTATGTATGCTATCATAACTTTTCTATGCATTTATTGACTGTGATGAAGAAAAACCAGTCAAGAGAGCATTTCGATATATTTAAAAAGCTTAAAAGACATTTAAATATTTCCTTATACTCGTGAGTAGTTCAGAAATTAGAATGATCCAATACCGATGATCCACCAAAAGTAAGAAAGGAGCCGATGATGAGGATCGGGCGTGGTTACAACACTAATCACTTCTTCATCTTCTTAGTCATCCAAATGGATTGATCACCTGCTGTTTCGAAAAAACAGTATAGAACTTGAAATGTTTTTCTCACTTATTTCATTTATATTTAAAAGATCAAACAAAATCTCTGGAAATTCATAGTCCTTTTCGTCGATGGACGTATCTCTACATCGATGAAACTTAATTTAGTATATATAAAGCGATCTCATTCGGGTTCAGATTATTTGATTTTATGCAGTCCACGTAGAAATGCATCAGTAGTAAGTTTTAACCACAGAAGTTGAATTAAATCAAAAGATACCACTCTCAAAGTAGTGGCATGCATGTTTTGTGATAAACATAAAAACAGGCCTATAAAGGATACTGATAAAAGCATTTTGCGATTGATATGAAACACTCGTAGAAAAGCTGCAGTAAATGAGAACTTACCGAAGTGGGAATGCGGTCAGTAGAGGTACATGGGGAGGGGTGAAGCAGGAGAAGTGGGAGGAGTAATATTAAGATAAAAAATGGAAAGGAGAAAGAGATAATAAAGTTTAGGCCGGTCGATAACAGGGTAACGAGAAGGGGAGCTGCGAGTTTGGGAACCGATCGGCTGCTAGCTGATCATTAAACACGTGTTACTTACCATATTAGTTTTATAAAGCAAGAAAGATAGACGTCTTCATTCCTAATAATAATGATAATAATGATTTTGATGATGATGACGATTTTAATGGTGATAATGATAGTAAGAATAATAGTGATGATGATGATAATGATAGTGATCATTGCTTAAAATAGTAATTCCTGTCCAATGTGTACATATATATATGTGTGTGTAGGGTAGGTAGAGATACAGGACATATCAGTGTCTAGGACGGCGCCACTCTCGACTTGTTTTCATGGTGATGAGAGCTTAAAAGGTAGGCTGTCAACTCAGCACAGAAGGTGCTCGATGGTACCGGACCAGCTCGACGACATGATATCATCGCGGCTGAACCACGCTTTCTGTGCATGGCTTTTGGCAGAGTACCAAGTCACGGCATGTCGCCGAAGCTGCTAATCCGGTTGTGCTCTTGTCACCGTGAGGGCATTTCGGTAGAACAACGGAGTCCCATTTTGAAAATACCATCGAGAGTTGAGAAAAGGATGACAAGTAAGAAGACTATATGTCACTTATTACTTATCTATATATCTGAAGTGCATTTTTTAACTTAACTGGAAGTCGAAGAAATATGAAGAATATATGTTCAAATATATATTTCTACTGCTTCATTAAAGTTCTCCAATGTAAATGTAAATTCTAATTAAACTCTTTCGCATCTCAATTATTGCCGCAATTTATTGCAAATAATATGTTAAGTGGGTTTTTTTTATTGTTGTACTGAAGCAGTTCGCAAAATATTTTGAATTAATTTCAATCAGTTCCTTTTCACCTTTAATTAATTACTTCGGCGACGAACTGTCTTCATCCATGACAAATCCATGACAAAGGAATCATCTCTGTTACTTTTGACATAGAGATTAAACCAATCAGTTATAATTAGACTATCGAATTGCGATTTATTGTCACCGATAATTTGATGAATTAAGATAATCTAAGATAAAGCATACAATGGGCAATACCAGACAGACGCCTCATTTCGCAGACACCTTACACGAGCTCCATTGGCTCCAAATTGTTTTTAAAGAATTCCTTTTTCTGCATTCTTAAGAAAAGAAAAAGGATTTACTTCGAAGTTTCGAAAATCATCGGTTATTAAATTCAGGTTTCAATCATTTCAAACTAATTTCTTATTGCTATTCGAATTGTTTGCTTCGATCTCTGAAAAGTTTATTGCAATAGAAAGATGAATTTCTGATCGACTGATTAATTCTAACGTAGTATAAAGATAAATGAAATAAAATTTAAAATATTTTCATCTTAATTTTAACTTTCCCTTAGTTCCAATTTTAAGCATTTCAATGTGAAAAATTTATCACGATTTAAGCAGTTGTCAATTATTGCAAAATATATTTGTCTTCAGGTATTCCCGAGAGAGTTATCACAGGTCAGAAGGATTATGTAAGAAAACTCCTCTTCCCATCCCACTCAATATTTTTAGCATAATTACAAGTACTTTAAAAATGCTTGGTAGGGTCAAGTCACTTCTTTGCTTCAAATTTATCTGCATTACCATTTTCAAATTTTTGTCTTTAGTAATAAACTGAAGACTAGAAATTATCATCTAAGGGAAAAGGAAAATAATAAATCGATTTTTATAGATAAGCTTGAATTATGAATGAGTTTTAAGAAGTATTAATATGTTAATTGAAATGAACAAATTAAAGATTTTATTCCACAGAGGTCAACGACAAAAAATGAAGGGTTAAAAGCCTTTTTTGTTTACTGTAATTAAATTCAGGAAAAAGCATAAAACAATTCTTTAGTAAAATTAATACACATAACCTTACAAGACATTCTTTTACGTCGAAATTTTTTTTGCATATTTCAAATCAAATTGACTTATATTGTGTTGAATCGTAATTATAATGCGTAATTCTGCATTCTTCCGTGTAATATACAATTACGATATATTATGCTAACTGGGTAAGTTTGGGATTTACATATTATAACTTTTTGAAAAGTAATTGTGCTCGATGATTTCGAATATTCAGCACTAGCCGTCGAGTTTGACAGTCAAAGTAGGCTTAGTTGGTCTACCATTTCTTATGCTTAATAGTAATAATAGCATTCATTTCCAATTCTGCTGATGAGTTAAATTTCTCCAAAATTGTTTCATACATTATTTAAAAAAGGATTAGCATTTCTGTCTAGATTTCAACCTAAATCTAGCTGAATAGAGATAGGAGCTAAATGAAATCAAAAAGCAATTCGCTTATCAGTAATTATAACTAGAAGTTAGATTCCCGAATATGGGCTAAAGGCATAACAGGTTATGTCATCGTTCGAGTGTTGACAAAAAGTATCAGTGTACGCAATATAAGAAAAATCGCTTTCCGAACAGATTACATTGAATTTCTTGAATAATTTCTCCTCAGCTGCCCGTTGGATAGAACGTTTACTAGTAGTTGCATCTTCAGTCATATTCTAAAATCTTTGAGAATTAGTACTAGTTAATGAATGAAGATGAATAAGAGATTGATTGTTAAATGTGAGAACACCTTCAAACTTCTATCCAATTGTTCTGATATGTCAAATTTTATCACAGTAGTTTGGTAAAATGGAAAATATATGTATACAGAAGAGTTTGATTTTTAATTTTTTTAAACAAATTATAAGAGCAGAATCCTTGAAATTGATGATACAAATAAATTAATCAAAAAAAAAAAAAAAAAAATTAAACTAGTAAAGTAACTTCTAGCTAAGAAGTAGAAGGTTATTCGGCACAATTCTCCATAAATAAAGCAGAAAAAGTATATTTTGTAGCAAGAATTCCTAATTCAGAATTTTTTATAAACTATTTTAGGACAGGAATTCAACCGAAATATTCAATTTCTTACATACTACTAAAATAATAATTAAATTATAGCATACTCCAAAATTTTAATTAGCTTCAGTTTTCTGATCTTTTTGTAGCTTCAAACTTCAAAACAAAATTCTATGGAGTGAAATCTTGAAAAATGAACAAGTGAACCTGAACCAATAAACTTCAACAAACTGTTGTTGAACCAGGGGCAAATATTGATTGCTTCAGTTACTGCTTCAAGATCATTTCGATTATTTTTACGATGATATTTTAATAATTTCATAAAAGTTGAAGTGCGAGTGTTTGTGTACCTCTTCCATAATTGATTTCAAAACTGGATCATTGCATTTGGAGTGGTCTTCCAAATCAGCAACAAGTGAAGCTGAAAATATCTTGGCACCGTGTATCCTCATTTGAGAGTACATGCAAGGCGCAACACATGTGCAACAACAGTCGTTAATCACTGGTATCGTATATGTCGGTGTCAGTTTCGGGGCCTTCAATACAAAGATGAGAAATAGTGTCTTCTTTTGATTTTGATAATCGTTAAAAAATATAAATCCAAAATTGAGCATATTTTGAGCGTGTTCTAGCATATTGGTTATTTATATATAGTTTCGTTAGGGTGCACTTACCAGAATAGGACAGATAGGCATTGGAGGTGATGGTGGACATGGTGGTGGTGACGGTGGACACGGTGGAGGTGGTGGAGGTGGCGGTGGTGGTGGTGGGCAAATTATTGGTCGTGGACATACAACAGGTGGTGGACATATCGGTGGTGGAGGGCAGGGAGGAGGTAAAGGTGGGCAGATCACTGGAGGAGGAGGTGGTGGACATATTGGTGGTGGGGGACAGGGAGGAGGTAAAGTGGGACAAATTACCGGAGGTGGGGGTAGTGGACATACTGGCGGTGGAGGACAAGGAGGAAGTGGAGGGGGGCAAGTTGGAGGAGGAAGAGGTGGTGGACATGGAACTGGTATGCATGGCTTGCATCTGTATGGCATGCAAGGTACTGCAACGGGACAACAACCGAATGTATTACAAACATCCCAAATTTGCATAAATACGATTGTGAGCATCAGTAGTTCCATGATCTAAAACCGAATTGAAATTGAAATTAAAATTAGGTTAACTAGTGAAGCTTATGAGAAGGCTGCTTGTTTCAAGAAAATTTTCATCTTAACCTTATCAATTCAGTGCTCTCTTTTTTGGTCTCTTAAAGATTAATAAAGACATTACAATTTATTGCATATGATCATCTCTGATGTCAGTGTCGGTTACAATGGTTTTATTTGATGTAGCAATAAATGATTGTACTATTTTGAAAGCTATTTGAAATAACGTAGGTTAAGCTTCTGACGATTTAAGAAATTCCCATTTGGATTTCTAACTTAAGCAGGTTTAATGTTTTCCTGGTTTAAAGAGAAAATATTTTAGAAAATGGAAATTTTTTAACAAAATAGATTTCTGATCTAAAGTAGATCGAGACCTTAGTTAGGTCACGGGTTGTCTTTTGTGGTGTAAAGGAAAATTCAGTAAAAATGTAAGGTATGACAAATAATTTTTTGTCATACCGTGATCATTGTTTCTAAATAAAATAGTAAGAGTAATAAATAATGACAGCAATAATATTAATAACAATAATAATAATTAATAATAATAGTAATAATTGATAACAATAATAACGATAATGATGGTAATAATAATAATAACAATTATTATTAATAACAATAATAATAATAATAATAATAAAGCATTAGCAAACGAATTTGAGATACAGATGTACTTCACTGTTAAATATATTTGAAGCATTATAATTGATAGATGTAAAAAAAAGAATTGCAACGATTATGAGCACAACAAGTAATTATGATGTTGGAGCCATTTCTAGTGCTCAGCTAGAGAGTGGAGTTGACTGCAAGAATTGCAAGTTACGAATATGAGTAGAATGGCGCAGAAGGTCTTTAAGAAGTACTACTGATCGTCTCATAACTTCTTCCTTTCCCTTTTCTTTTGCTTCTTTTAATGCTTTCAATTGTTGAATCAGTAAAGAAATACGCCTACGGCAATTCTAAATTCAAAAATTCTTTCAGTGATAATATCAGTACTTTTTGATGACGTCAATGATAATAGTTGTACTACGATAATGGTAATAATACTAAAAAGATGAGGATGACAATGATAGATCACAAAAACATTCAATGAATAAGTTAATTTTTTTTCTGTATTCGAATCATCCTAATCATCGTTAGTTTACCACATGTTTGGAATAAAAACCGGATTTCGTTTTTCGTTTTATTTGAGAAAAAAGTGGAAAGCAAATAGAACTAAATTATAAGACTTTCAGATATATTTAATGACGACAATTTTGCAGTCTTTCTTCACACATTATTTGGAGACAAATCTTGCATGAATAACAAAGCGAATGAAATTAGAATTTAAATAAAAGTAAATATGAGATGAGTAATACTCAATGCCATTCTCAATGCTATTTTAAAATATCACCCGAAGGCAATTTAATGTAATCACTTCAAAATTTCGAGTCATTTTTTTTTTTTCAATTGTTGGTAAAAAGCAGCAATGGAATACTATTTAAACGGTAATTCGCAAGTGGCTACAAACTTTCTAAATAATACGCCCATATTTTACGTTGTCAGCGAGTTTTCCAATCTCATTGCAATTTTTATGTGACATTTTTCAGCTACTCAATGCAATATTTCAATTTTACTGACAAAAACTCTTTACTACATCGGAATTACTTGTTTCGCACTTAAACTAACTGAAATCGTTGATACAATTACATTCTTTTGTGGGAAAATTGAGATATCTCTGAAGCAGATTTGATGTGACAAATGGGTGGATCAAATCTTTGAGATCAAAAATTCAGCAAAAACATACCGCCGCGGATACTGCGACTAACCGCGTCCCAACGCTATAATTGGATTACGGTATATTTCTGGAATGGGAATACTTGCTTTTAGACACGTGTAAATATGTGGGGTATTACATGTGTAGCGTATTTAAACATTTACTTAATATAATTTCAGAGTTTTGCAGACAAAAATTATCTGGAAGGATAGCTTAAAGATGTTTTCAAGTGCAATTCAGAAATGTTGCAGTGCATTCGCATGCACTTCTACACTCGTTCCAGGAGTTGCATCACATTCAGGTCTGCACTTGCAGTCGAATTCAGTACCATCTGATCAGTGTCATTCGATTGATGCTTGTCTAAAAACAAAGGTTTGGCTATTCATCTCGTTATCATGTTTCAAATAATGATTGAGTAATGTCACTACTCGAATTTCTCCTTTGGTGCAATAACACAATTTTTGGAGTTCCCTATAGGCTTGATGTGATAACATAGTTATTCGGATTCATCCAGTTGTACTAATCTCCTTTGTTTACTGCGGTATTTACATACGTTTCATCTCATAATTATCAAATTTTACGTAATTTTACGAAATTTTACGAAATTATCAAAGTTAAAACGCATTATGATCTCCAAGTTTAGGAATTTCTTTTTTAATTCACATTGTTACATTAATTTAGCGATTCTTAATAGTTGTTTCTGAATGCAAATTATTTTTTTTAGTATTTCCAGCCTTCGTTCAAAAGAAATTCTCATGATCTGCAAAATGGAAAATCACTGGTTATGAAAAGTTTTCCGGAATATCCTGAAGATGATAAACTTCGGATTCTGAAGGAAAATCCGGAACATTCTGAAAAGCGGAATTTGGCACAACTCGTTTCACGAAAAGAATTCTATCTACGGGAAAACGAAGTTAAAATGGCGAGAAATACAGGCATTGGCATCGGTGACGAAAAAATGGAAAGTAGGCTTATGGAGTTTTACATGACAAATGTAGAAATACAAATAAGCAAAAATTTCTAGTCTTATTTTGTCACATCAGGAACTGAAAGGATTCTATAACTTCAAAGTCGCAGAAACAAAAACAAAAAAGATAATTATCGAATTGATAAAGAGTTATTTCCAAAAAAAAAAGAAAAAATATATATATATATATATATAGCAAGAAGTACATACCAAAATATAAACTGTTAGTGAGTTCTAATTCTAGTACTAATTAATTAAGAATTTGTGCGATCAGTAAATTTTGTGAACAAATAAACTTATGTTTCAATATGCTGAAGATTTTAAGAAAAGAGCTTCTGTACGCATGCTTTGTCATTTTTTTCATCAAATTTATTTTGTTAGCATATCTGATGAATGCTCTACTTTCGAAATCTCCGGATGGAAGTACGCTCAGTGGTATGAATATTGCTGTGTTTGATTTGCATTCAAGACGTTTTGCTGAACGATTGCTAAATGCCGGTGTTTCTAGTCTTTCCATTATTGAGACATCTCAATATGAAGCTCAAAAAGCGAAGGTTCGTTTTCTTTTTTGGTTTTGAAAACTATTAAGTTCTAATGAAATAATGCTGATTCATTTCACACGTGTTTTCCCTATTTTGTGTTTAATTTCATTAAAGATAAAACTGTTTTGAGAGGGACTTCTTTCGATCATGATAATGAATAAAAATACTTTTCAACTTATTTTTTGAGTTAATTTTAGAGTTGGCAGTTTATTTTTTTGGTTTGAACGGATTGTAACATTATATATATTGGTGATGAGTGAGGGATAAACTGAACTATTCACTGTAGCAGCTTTTTATTTCTTTTTTACTGAGATTTAATTTTCCTGGATTTGATTCCTGAAATTCTGTTTGGTAATTATTTACTACTTACACTTAACATTCACATCCGTACTTATTACCACTTATTTGATTGCTAACAAGGATTCATATATAGTATGTTATGCAGTTTTATTGGTGGCCAATACTCACTGTCTTGTTCATTATTATCAGAAAGGGAATAATTTCCTACAACTTAAAATACAAGTTACAACGCTTCTACTTATTATTTCATCCTTGTTTTCTTGAATTTAACGGTTTTTATATTTGACATTCATCTTTAAATTGATTTCCAATTATCGCATCATTTGGCGCCTACTAACTGTAAGTCTAGAAAAAAGTGTTACTACAAAAAGCTATGTTTTAATTATATTAATTTAAATATTTAACATTTAAATATTTTCTAGATGATACTTTTGATTTAGTAAGTTTACTGTGCCGAATTTACACTTACATTTTACAGCAAGATAAGATGACATTTTATGTTGCTATTTCGAAGTTTTTTCATCTGTTGTTTCTTAAAATAGATGCTGTCAGTTTCGCTCCGATATTCAGCAGTAATAGTTTTCCTGACCTCGTGATTTTCTTGCAAATAACATATTCTTTGCAATAGAAGAAAGTGATGAAGAAAGCTCTTCTTTTGTTGATTTTTTTAAAAACTCATGAATATACGCCAAATTTGGCACAGCAAATTTCGTGCGATACTTAGACAAGAATAAAACGCATGTTACCAAAATTACTAGCATGAAGAGTGATGCAAAAGATCTTGGTATCAGCATAGAAATAAGAAGCACTGAAAATTTTAGGTGATAATTCTGAGTTTACTGTAAGGAATTAACACTAATGTTTCATTTCTACATTTCTTCTAGAATCTTGAATGATTCTTTATTCCCAATTTATTTATTGAACTATATCCTACGTAAATGGTTTGATTTCTGTGTCCCTTGTCTATGATATGGATGCAGCATGAAATTTATTGCCAAAAATGATTAAGCTAAGTGTTGTAATTGTAACGTTTAATAAGGGACGTTTTTTACCTCTGAGAACTTGATTTTTAAGTTATAAAAAATGTAGATTTTCTTAATACTCATAAATTTTTTATATTCAAGAGTGGAAACAATTTTTTTGTTTTAATATTAATGGAGGTTTTTTCAAGATAGTGAACTTACATTGAAGAGCTATATAGGCAGTAAAATGAAGGATATTTTTTAATGATGAATGTTTCCACTCTGGATATAAAAAAAATTTTGTCAGGAATCGTGAATGATGTGTTCTATTTACGGCTGGTTGAAGACATACTGGTAATTGTAATCTTCTAGTAATGAGATTTATGAGCAGTTTATTTAGTTGGTCGAGAGGGCATTACGTTGTCCCGAAAAAAGGATTGAAACAGAGTTCTGGAAATGTGCTTCCTTTACATAAATTTAAATCAATCATTACTGTTGTGATTACTGAATTGAGATGAGATAGAATGAGCACAAAAGTGTGATTGATTTTCTGCTACATTTTTTCGATGAAATGCGGTAAGTATGTTAGGTATCAGTTATCCATCACTTTTCATCCTCAACGAGCAGTTTCATCTTCGAACCAGATAACTTGATTTTTCACCCAAACAAAAAGTTAACTTTCTATGTAGTTTTGTATGGAGAATTAATATATAATCCAGTTTCCCTTTAAAATGTCAATTAACGGCAATAATAGTATAAACATATGATAAGTGTATAGACATATTTTAGTGTTTGATTTTCTTTGCAAAAAAGACTTAATTATTAATGATAAAAGAATATTAAAGGATGTTTTCGCAAACTGATATACATGTGCGTAATTATTGCACGTTTTGTTAGAATTCAAGGTATTGGGAGCTACCTATTCTAAATAATTGCGCAGGTATTTGGATTGAGCTTCATTATTGTCATTACCAAATATGCGATGAGTTCTTTGTTTTCTAAAGTCGCTAGTGATTGAAATTGGAAGTGAATTTAAATTCACTTTTTTGAATTTTAAACACATATAGTTAGCAATCAAAGTAATCCCTCATAGTGTCCTTATTTTTCCGGATAATCTAAGGTTAAAACCTTTTTGCATTAAACCTTCATTTATATTACAATATAGTTTATAAAATGTACATGTGTATGCTCGTGAAAAGAGGGTTTGGTTGTATTTTGCATAAACTGGCATGTCGAGCTTTATGAGCAGCAGTAATATTAATAGTGATTATAACGACAAGTCCTTAATATCTCTTTTTAATCTATAAAGTTCTGAAAGCAGATCTGATTGAATGTGCTGAACCATAATGGATTAATGAAATTATATTAGGTAAATGTGTAGCAATTTGGCGAACTAAACAAATATAATGAATTGAATGTATAAAATTAGTCGACAGTGGCAGTTAGCGCTCGTAGTTAGGTGAAGTTTAATTGTTTGGAAGGGAATTCTTCAAAATACTTGTTTACAAGTGAGAAATTAATGAATAATATGTGAGGGAAAGGGAAAAAAATTTTTCTAACAAGCTGAATATAAAATGATAGATTAGTTTATGGAAATGATTAAACATGTTTATCAAAGATTTCTCTTTTTATCTCGGCTTTCTTTGGCTGATTACAAAAAGTGCACTGTTAAGCTCAATTGAATCATACTCAGTTTTCAGGCATCACTAGATCTTGAATTCTACTTAAAGAATTTGCTTTCCTTCAAATTTTGTTCTGTGATATTTTTTCTTGGTCTTGAAGTCACAAAATTAAGTTAAACTATGAACATCAAAATAAGTTTAAAATAAAATAAATAAACGACTTTTTCTGATAATTACTTCGAAACGTTAAAACACTGTCTTGATGTTTTTCTTTTTTTTTTTTGTTAGCATCTTTGATAACTTGGAGCTTTTCCTGGGAACGATTAAAGGAATCAGTTTTTACTTTCGTCATTATCAAGAGCTGTAGCTATTTTCGCAATTAATTAAGCAGCTAGATATCCTTAGCATTGGTGCAGATTTGCACTGGCTAAAATTTTTTACATTATTTCTGTTTTTTCATAGGTTCCTTGTACTCGTTTTGCTAGAAAATATTATTAATTTGAACATAAGGCTTTTAATTTCTGTGGTGGAGGAAAACTCATAAATCAACGCTTTACAATTAGGTTTAATATTCTGAATAAACGAATATAGATAGGGATAAAGCGACAATTAAATGCGATGATCTGTGCATTTTGCATTTAAGTCATTTATAAACTGTTAACAGTGATGTTAAGGAAGAGAAAGTGGGTCAAAGATTTTTCACTTTTAAATAATGGGCATAAATTATTGAATATTAGTTTTGGATGTAAAAATACTTATAGTTGAAATAGTCTTTTTTTTTGAAGCTAAATAGTTCTATGTATTGCTTGAATTGCTTAACTTCATAAATTTAAAGAACATTTGTGCGATTTTTTATTGAAAAGAGATGAAAAGAGACTTTTTTAAGGAATATACAGAGAAGATTCGAAAAAAGAAAGGATTGATAGTTGGAGCATATAGAGCTAACATGGAATCATTATTTCCACTTTGTACACGGAAGAAACAGATAATATTCCCAGCTAAACTACTCTTCGCCAACCAACAGCTCATGAAGAGTGCTATTAATCCGTTTAAGTTACTAAAAGAAAGTGCCGCACAAATTGGTATGCCTCATTTCTTGAATTTTTAGTGGGTTCTATTGCGATTTCAGCTTAAGAGCATTTCATACCGAAAAAAAAAGGATGTGACAAAATGATTAACAGGCATTTATTTGGAAATTTCATGAAAACTGAAAAAGTGGTAAGTTGAAACACCAGACAACTTTTTTTTTTCATTAAAATATTAGTTAATTGGTGGAATATTGTAATGAGCAGTAGTAGGGGCCAAAAAAGAGAAATATATATGCACTGCTGGTTTTAGGGAAACATGTAGAAATTAGTTTGTTCATTTTCTAAAAATTTTAAGAATTTCTGAAGCGAATGTAAAGCAGTAACATAGTTGATTGGTTTTCTGTTTCATTTCATAATAAATGATAGAAACAGTAATAAAATTGTGGTACTCCTTGAATTTGTCTAAATAAGTTGATGGCAGCTTGTGTGAGACCAATTTTTTTTCTCACTTTCGCACAGGACGTCTTTTCATGGATGGTGCTGTGAGATGGAGTTATTTATCAGTCTTATGGAATTATTCACCTTGATCAGACTGTTAATGCGTGAAAAGCTGTCATATTAAAATTATTGTACGCATTTATTCATAGAATCATAAGAGATAATTGTTGGTAGCTAATATTTCCTCATATCTTAATTATTCTCGAAAATCTAAATTTAAAAATCTGATGAAATATTGGTGTCATGTTTTTTAAAAATGGTTTTTTTTTTAGGTAAATTGGCCTTTTTTTGTAACTCTCACTCTTTTTTTAAACATATCTGTTAGAAATTGGTATAGAGAGGACTTGAGAATTTTATTTCACTGATATTGAAGAGTTCAAAGAAAAAAAGTTTCGTTTATATTTCTTTTTTGCATAAACGAATAAGCAATAAAACTGTATTAATCTGCTTATTTTTGCTACCATTTCAGATGACGAATCCGGTAATAAACAAAGATTTGCACCGATAATAATCGGTTGTTTACCAACAGTTAGTCAGCAGTCTAATATGCTTACTTCAATGATATTTAATTTAATCATGCATTTATGCGCTGTGAAGAAGGATACAATGTTTCAGTATGGTGCTATACAGCTTATCACATTTCTTTCAGCTAGGTAAGTTATTAGCATTGAAGTAGTTATTTTTTGAAATATCAGAAAATTTTGACAAAGTGTGTAAATGTGATGGATAATGATCAGATAATAGTAAAAAATGAGTCCCAAATTATTAGAACTCTTTTTTGAAATACGATTTAGTTTCTACACGAAAAACTTTCTGTACAGCTTATCACATTTCTTAACTGTCAGTTTTACGTGTAATGTTTTTCTTTATTTCGCTGTACCTCTTTTTTTTTTTTTTTTTTTTTGGCATAACAACAGTCAGTAATTATTCGCTGCGCTTACTGAGTAGTTTATGACTAGCATTGTTCTGTGCATGCTAATGGTTGATTATCAGTGTTGTGGTTGGCGAAGAAACATCTATTGTCCCATATTTTAAATATAAAGGCACTCATAAAATTGTTGTCAAACTTCCCTACCTTTGTGGATTCTCCTTCAATTAATTTTTTCTTGCAAAGGAAAATTTACAGTTGTTTTTTTTTAAAACTTGCTTTCTCTAGTCGAAGAGAATAGTGACAGTATTTCTCGTGCTCAGTAATTTCACATTTTTGTCATTAAAAAAAAATAATAAATTTTGCTTCTATTTTGCAAACAAATAGGAGCTTTTTTTTGAGCAATTTTGTGCTGGCAACGTGTGCTGTGGATCCCAATATGCAGTTCGTATCGAATGGAATCAAACACAAATCCTGGCTACTCAACAAATTATTTGCTGTTAAACCATTATCTGGTTACTCAGGATTTCCATATAACACTTTTAGCCCCCCATTTCCGCTATCTAGTTCTTTCTCTTATGAGAAAAAATTTAATTCGGTAATTTCTTCTTTTCATTTTTTGCTATCATTTCCATATTCATACCGATAATGTAGTGTTTGGGATAATAAAATTATCAATAAAAAGTCACATTTCATTGATTTTAGTTTTGACAATCTGTTAAATTTAACATGTTTTAATGTTTGTTAGTTCCTATTAAATGGTCTTTATTTGTTATGTAATGTTTCAGATTGGTATTAGGAACGAAAATCTATATGGTGTGACAATAGAACCGAAAAACGAAATTGATATTGGTAATCTGAATTTATTGGTCAGTTCGAATGAGGAAATTCTAATGAAGTACGCATTTTGGATTACTTTTACAGGCAAGATGACTGCTAAAACAAAAGTCGCCCAAAAACTCAGGTATGATACAATATTTACTGCCGATTGACATCATTTGGGTCATAAATTTTTTTCTGGAACTGTATGAGATATGAACTCGATTTTCTCTTTATCGATTGTCAGATTTTCCCACTATTGGTTCAGTAATTCTGCAGACCTCAGCAGTTAGAAACTATTCAGTTGAGTTTCATTTTTTAAGCTCCGTGTTTAAATATCATAACACGTAGGACCTTCCAGGGAATGGCTTCCAAAAGCAAACATAGATCTAAGCTCTCTGGTTGAATCCGATGCTAAAGTTGCTGATTTGAAACTGGAAGATTTCGATAAAATATTTTCTTTGTTGCATATAGAGTTGAACGATGATTTTGCGCATATTGGTGAGCTAAGGAATTTTTACGCTCACTTCAGGCCTGCAATTGAAAATGCTAAATTTGCCGATTAATAAAGCTGTTGTTTATATTGCACAAAGTGACAGATGAAATAAACAATGCTATAACTGATTAAGATTTGATAAATATATACAGAAAGGTTAACAGAAATCAAACATTAACTAGATAGATAAAACATTACTGTTGGTTGCTAAAACAACCAACAGTAATGGTTGTCGTTAGTTTATAGAGTTAGATTTAAGAATTGAAATAGAGCAAGTTTCATAGAATAATCGGCCTTCCAGTTGATGGTTATACTCTATTATTTGTTTCTATGTGTACATTTTTAGTATTTATAACTGTGTTTTTTGAGGATCTCAGTGATTTGCATTCCAGATCTTGTTCGGTATTACACTTCATGTTATTCATGTTATTGTCGAAAAGTATATCACTTGCACAGTTCATTTTCCTCTGTTACTGAATTTTCCTTAATTCAATTCAATTCCAGTTCGAATAGAGTTTGACAATGCAGGAAGACATAAATTCACGTTGATTAAATTCAGTAACAAAAAAAATTTCAGTTTCCACTATTCCACTGTATGTGCGTATGTAACGTGTCGTTTATGAGTTTATGAAGAGGACCTGATCACTATTTATAAATCTGGTATTTTTTTAAAATCAGATGTGCAATATTTTGTGTGCCTGTCATTTGAACTATTCTATTAGGTTGTTTTCGGTGTTATTTGTTTGGAATTAAATTTATTGTTACTTATTTGTTAAAATGAGATGCATTTCTTACATGGTCAGGTTGAAGTTATTCCGACATTTCGGTCTCTGGCATCGGATAGCTTTGGTTCCGAGTCTGTTTGGAAGCTTAATATATCAACTGTCTAACTTCAAATGCATTTGAGACATATGAGTTGTGGTGCCTTTCTATAGGAACTTTACTGTGAATCATTCCAGTGTTTTATTTTAGTATATATATATTGATCAATCTAGGTCTCTGAATTAGTCTGCTCCTTAGGAAGTGTGGTACGGTGAAGCTAAGAGAATAATAATTGAGAAGCTGCAGAAGGGAATGGTAGTTTTGTGTCGAAGTCAAACATTCGATAGGTCTGTTCATAGCGTTGAATGATTCGGACAGGTAAAGGAAGCTTGACGGTAGGTTTAATTTAATTCTCAACGATCCCACCACCACCCCCCCTCCCCCCCTCGAACCGGCACTATATCTATTGATCATTCCAGTATTTTATGTTTGTCGTTTGTGTCGAAGTTAAGCAGAGCCAATCTGTTTTGAAATTAATATTTTACGCGAGCAATTTAGTAACTGTCGTGAACTGTCATCCGTTCATGTAGAATGGAAGAGAGAGAAACAGAAAAAGTGATCGGGAAAGAGAGAGAGGGAGAGAGAGAGAAGAAGTGGACGAGTGGGAGAATGCTGGCTTCGTCTCATCCATTTTGTCCCATTGATTGTTAAATTTAGCTTCGTTCTTTTAAGCCGTCCGTTTTTTTTTTTTTTTTTCTTTTCTTTTTGAAATGACTTGTTGATCCTCTTTTCCAAATAATTCAATATTTGTTTTAACAGCTTTTTTTTAAATAATTTGGAACGAGATGATAACACGTGAAATGGAACTGTAATTTTTTTTCTGTAATTGCAGTGGTAATAAGCAAGCACTGATGAATAAATGATGTTTGAGCTAGGAAAGTATGGTACTTCTATTTTGATGCATTAAAAATACTTGGTTGTATTTGTCCTTTATTCTGCTTCTCTAGTTAGTCTTACTATTTACTTTCAATTTTCTTTACTGCTAATTATTATATGGAAGGGGAAGATGCTGTCTAATACTTCATACTTCAGGTGGAGCCACACGTCATTCCATGAGCATCAGCGTGGGTGATGCTACCTTTAATCGCTCATTAGTAGCTAACCGTCAATCGCAGTGGAAGAGTCAGAAGGTATTCATCGATCGGATATATCAGGTAAATAACTAATTATCACTTGTTGCATACCGCGCTATGCTTTACCACTTACTAGTGTAAATTATCACTATGTTCTTTTCTTGTTTCGTTACTTTCCAGTAAATTACATCTTTTGACAGTTTTTAGTCTTTGGAATTCTTATTACCTCTTACCGTTAATATTCATTATTATATCACCAAATTCAAGTATTTTTTAAATGCTTTTGACTGTTTCAATGTGGCGTTATCATTGTTGGTATCTACATCTTCAGATATCCAACAATTGTCATCCTGGCATCGGACTGGACCAAGCAGCTGCTGAACATATCCAAGAAATCTTGATATGTTTATTTTTTGAATTACTGGAATATCATCCACAGACAATCGAGGACATGGAACGAAATATGCGTACCACTTTGCCGGCAAGCATGTTCCATTGGGTTATGCAGGTACTCCCTTCGTTAGAAACTTCATTATTCGTTCGCGCTGCTGTTATCAATGTTTTTTGCGCTGCAAGTGATTGTGCAGATGTTCTATTTCAGTTTCAAAATACTCCTGAAGCATTACACAGAATTCCACGGAAAAAACTTCATGATAAACGAAATGCAAACTCAAAAAGCCTGATGTCACTTTTGCACATGTTGCAACCAAAACTGAAGGTATCATTTCGTATCTTTTATTTTGAAATCAATAATTTATTACTATGTTATACAAATAATAACTGTTGAGTGTTGCAGGAATTGCTGGGTTACAAATTAGATGAGGAGGTAATGCTATACTTGCTTTCCGTTATCGAATACATTGCTGCAGATATACTAAAGGTATATTGGAAGCATCTTTGTCTCTTTTTTTGAAGTAACATATCGTAATGAAATGTTCAGTTATTTCTTAGATGTAATTGTCATTTATTTCAGTGGACTGGAAACTATGTGAAAAATATAAGGAAATGTGATCCCACTATTGGTTTGCAGAATTTGAAAATTGCGCTTAGTGCTGATACAGTGAGTCATTTTATTATGATTCATTTTTATTATTGACAAACATTGGAGTTTTAAGTAGATTAATGGTAAATCTTTCTACCAGACAAGAAGGTAATTCTCCTGCCTTTTCCAAAATTTATGTTTGTGCTTTATTATTTGGATAACTTTTCGATTCATGGCCTTCATAATTCTAACTTTGTAGAGCTTGATGGAGCTTACAGAAATGTTGTACAATGAAGAGGAGACATCCACAGCCGGAATATTAAATGATAATGTCGAAGATATTGTGCAAGAAATGTCATATGATGAGGTGCTTTTTAGGTGATTTTAAAATTATCACGTATCTTTTATTTATATTGTAGCATATGGCGCTGCCGTCATCAGCAAATTGCATTTCTCTGACTTTTTTTGCGCGTTCATTTGTTATACATACACTTATTATGTATTGTCTTGCATGCATCAAAAGAGATGTAAATTTAGGCATCACGCGATTTCAATCGTGAGGAAGCTCAATATCTTCGTGATCTTAATCTCATCATTCATGTCTTTCGGCGTCGTTTTGAGACTGCTTTCGAGCATGATGCAGTAATTTCTAATAAGCTTAATATTTTCTTGTATTACATTTCTGTCTGTTTATGACTAAGTTTTTGTTTTTTTTTTTTTTTTTTTTTTTTTTTTTTTTTTTTTTTTTTTGTGTTTTTTTAGCAAGTCATTAATATGAAATATATTTCCAGCACTGTCTTGATGAAATGTTTGGCAACATTTTGGAATTGCATGAATTAACAGTGAAGGTTCAGCGAATGTTAGAAGATGCAATTGAAATGTCTGATACTCCATGTGTAGGAGCTGGTTTATGGGAACTTGCGGAAGCTCATGAATTTGATGTTTACATTGCTTATATGGTATTTTCTATAAGATAAATAAATTCAGCCAAAATATGGTTTGAAATCTCTTCCTCATTTTTGAATATGAGATGTTAGGAATTTATTCTTTATGATATATTTTAAGGATTTATTCAAACAGTCGCTGACAACTGTAATAGAAAAAGTGTTGAACGATGCTAAATATGAACATTTTTTCTTGGTAAAATATGATGCTTTTTTGTTATTGTTTGGAATTATTTCTAATATTTCGCACATAATCACAATTTTAACGCAAATAAGAAAGATTGTGAATAAATGAGTATATTTTGGGAAGGAAATTTTTTGAGACAGTCGTTTTTTTTTTTTAAGCTGGAAGATCGGACACACAGTATAACTCCTGGGGGTGAAGCGTTTCGACTTGCTGTTAAATACGTGCTTCCTTCTCTTCTCGAAATTCCTGTTATTCATTTCTTTCGTTATGTTGAGTTTACAAATGTTAGTTTTTTCCTAATTCTAAAAATTTAGATTCAGTCTGAATTCATCCAAATTTTAATCTGAATTTTTCTGTTATCCTAACACTGCTACATTTAATAAGCAACTGCAGTATAGTAAATTTGTTGTATTATAAAATCGTAATAAAATGTACATATTTTTAATTGCTAAGTCATCATTTTTACAGATTTTTTTTAATTCGTGGTTCATCCTAGATTTTATGTCACCTGGCACGACCGCCTGATGAAATCGAAGATTTAAAAAGCACGAAAAGTTATTTTAGCGGTCTTGCTGTAAAAATGGAGTCGCTATGTCCTTTATTTCTGATTAATCATCTGAAAACGTTAGTTCTAATTTTTATTTTAACACAATTGAAAATTCCATGATTGCTGCTTTCCTTTTATATCCCATTCATTACCACTTTATAGGGAACAAAGCGTTCGTGCTTTGCCAGAATCAAATTGCTCACGTCAGAGACGAAGGATCCAAGAAATTCAGCGAAGCATTGAATTATGGGAAGGGAAGGAAATTGGTTACAAATGTGCAGAAGTTATTAGAGGTTTCATCTCTCTGGATTTTTTTATAAATAAAAGGATTATTTAATGTCATAAAGAGCTCACATGACAAAGTTTATTAAAGTCCATCCGAATAAAGTGGAGGAAAATAAGTTCTCAGTAAGTACTGGATGAACTAGTTTTTGTTCTTTATGCATTTTATATCTACAATATTATTTTTTGAAACTACAATATTACTCATTAACTTATCTTACAGAAGGTGATTTGTTACTGTTGCGATCTGGACCACCATCTTCTGTTGGTAAGATTTTTATTTTTACAGCTAGACTTATTAAACCATAAACTACTTTATAACCAACGGTTTAAATTCCTAAGAAATAATTAGTTATGCTATTATAATTAAACGTTTTTCTATGAAATTTAGCAATCTGATAATGTTTTGTGTTAGGTTTATTATTTCCGAATTTCAAAAATCCCCTACAGATACGCTGAAAAAGAACAGGGGAATAACTATGCGTCATACATTTCTCTTCGATCATCTTTTGGTGCTTTGTAAAACATTACGCTCTTCAAGGCCAGAGAAACCACTTTATAAATTTAAGGATAAAGTGCTTATACGTAAAACTGATATATTCGATCTAAAAGATACTGAAGGTTGGTGATTGGTACTTTTATTTCTTTTCTACTTTAAGTAAGGTATCACTAGTATTAGCCTAAATGTTATTAGCTGAATAATATCTGTATTGTAACTGATTTCATTTTTGCCTGTTCTAGTCATCTATTGTAGAATTTCAAAATGCCTTTAAAATTGTATCGCGATCGATAACTCATGAACGAGGAGACAACACTTCCTGGACTTTGCTTTGTCGAACGCCGGAAGAGAAAACTAGTTGGATGTGCGATTTAGTCAAAATTCAGGCGAAAAGGTATAGAACTCTTCGATTTGTCTACATTCACTTACAATAAAATTTAAAATTTTCGATTTCTTCTTTTCCGTGCCTTTTAGTTCATTAGATCGAATGTTGGATGCATCGTTGAAAGAAGAAGAAAAACGAGTTCCACTAATTTTGCCGACATCTGACCAGTATAGGTATAATTTTACATTTCCATTGATGTTCTTACTTACAAATACTCTGTGACATTTATTGCTATAATAATGCATTTAGACTCTTTTTGAATTCTTTCAATTAAAATTCCAGGTTCGCTGATCAAGACTGCGATGAAAATATTGTGTTTGAAGATTATACATCAAGTAGTGGGATACCAGTCGTTAAGCATGGAACTGTTCTAAAACTTGTTGAACGCTTAACTTATCACTTGCAAGTTCTAAATCGTTTTTACTGACAGTTGATGACAAATTTGTGAATTGTACGGATACTTTTGATAACTTTTTAGTCTTTTCTACAGTGTTTACAGCCAAGAATAAAGTTGTCCTGTATTAATCATCCACTTTTCATCGCCCATTTTTTAGATACACGGATTATAATTATGTGCGTACTTTCCTGACCACTTATCACTCATTTTGCACATCCTCAGAATTGTTGCAGTTGCTCATCGAACGTTTTCAAGTACCTATTCCGCCACAACTCCAAATAGCTGAAGCGAATAGTATATCTAGTTTGGAGTCACGGTAAAATCAGCGAAATTTTGTTAATTTACACTTCGAAATCTATGGAAATGCAATTTAGGATTGGAATAGATGCGTTTTTTTCTAAAATAAAATGTACAAAAAGGAGAGTTCGTTGCATTGTTTTAGTGAGCTTTTAAATGGTCCTTGTGCCGCAGCACATTCTCAAGGTCTGAGGATCCAAGTTTCTCCGACAGTGCTAAATAGAATTGAGCGAAGTTATCAGCGATTTCGCAAAGAATATCAGCAACCAATACAGTGCAGGTACTTTTCCAGTATTTTCCTTATATCATTAATTATTTTTGCTCTGGAGTTTCTTTTTAACGATTTTTAACGATGATAGATTCAGCAGAAGAGTGAATAATAAGTATTGGAACCTTATAAACTTTTCCAGATGAATAAAAACTTTTTAGTCATCTGGAAAAGTTTCTCTCATAACAATTTTTTACACAGAGTACTAAGTGTGATTCGACAGTGGGTCAATAACCACTGGTATGATTTCGAGCATAATCCCGTTTTGTTGGAAAACTTATGTTCGTTTTTGGAAGAAACTGATTCTCATGGAAAAGTTATCAATCAGTACAAGAAATGGTGTAAGAGCATTAAGGTAACAAATTTCTTGTTTATAATTCATATCCTTTTTATTTATAATTTAATTTTGCACAACGTTATTATTTTTATAGTTTCATTATCAAAAATATAAGTGGACAATTGAACTTTGTCATATTTATACACTTTATCACGGCTACTCCTTACCACTTTTGTCCTTTTTTCAAAAAATTCTTTCATCATCGTTTTTTTTCATACTTGTATCGAAAGGAAGAAACGAGTTGATATAATACCGTCGGCGACACATAGTGGTTTAGAAAGTGAACCTTCCCCAGTGGCAACCACTTCGTATGGTCCACAGAAACCGAAGGTAAGGTAATATACGTTAGTTGTTATATGGATTAAAAATTTCCAAAACTTTCGAATCTTGTTAAACACAGGGAGCTTGCTACGTACTTCGTGATAAAATGATTAGAAGTTTGATTTTCGTTTCCTATATATGGATACAGCATGTAAAACCAATCAAAAAATTCAGTTAAAAATTCTATCTTCGTTTCTTTGTTATAGCATTTAATTTGAATAGGTATTTTTAGATTTTGTGGCATATTGCCGAGAAAGGAGCCATCGAAACGTACGATCTCTTGTCATTACATCCAATTGAAATTGGTCGACAGATAACCCTGTTACAATTTGACCTTTATAAAGCTATTAAACCCATCGAATTGGTTGGTTCAGCATGGACGAAAAGGGATAAAGATCTTAGAAGTCCACAATTGCTTAAGCTCATCGATCATAGTACTATGGTTTGTTAATATTTCGCTTAAATATTTATATTCCTGCTTTAGTATAAATCATTCAAGGGGGAAGTGCTTCTTTTTGCTAGCAAACTTTTCTTATTAGTATTTCTAACACGCATTAAATGATATCTTGATAAGTATTATAAACCTTTGTTGTATGTTCGGTTAATTTAACTTTTTCAAGTTAACTTATTGGGTTGCTCGCTCTATTGTGGAAACTTGTTCATTGGACGAGCGAGTATATATGTTCTCACGTGTGCTAGAAATAATGTCTGTTTTCGAAGAACTCAACAATTTCACTGGACTCGTTGCTTTATATTCTGCTCTGAATAGTAGCTCTGTATATCGGCTTAAGGCATGTTGGGAGGTATTTTTTGCTCATATTTGCTTTTCTATTTTTTGTTGTTTGTGCCGTTTATTTATGTCATTTTATTAAATTTAAAACTTTTGCACTGAGTTCATAATCATTTTGTATTTGGTTCATAATGATGAGCTTGAAGAGAATTGATCGGGAAAAGCAAGTATGGTATGAAAAATTCAAGAAACTGTGCAATCCGCACTGGAAAGAAATGATTGAACGATTGAAAAGTATAAATCCGCCTTGTGTCCCATTTTTTGGTTAGTTTTGATAAGTACTATACAAATAGAGCATGAATAACATTTAATTCCAATGATATCTATTTAGAAAAAAACTGAATTTCATTGGGATATGTTTTATAATATTCAAGAATTTGTTTTGTTTTCATTAGCACGATCGATTTTCTTCGCAGTTTAGGCAGACCTTAATTGGCTGCACCAGTATAATTACGATATCTTAAAACGAATCTGGAAATTATATTGGATTGTATCATTATGTTTATGCGAAATCTTTAAGGTCATTATCTTTCCAAAATCTTTTTTTACGAAGAAGGGAACAGTACATTTGTACAGAGCGAAGATCTCACTCATGAGCAGGTTTTTTTTTTTTTTTTTAAAAAACTTGAATGGTGTTTTTATAATTATCCATCTGTGTTATTGTGTTACAAACTAAATTCATATTAAGCTCTCGGTACTCACAAGGACTGAAATGCCGGAAGTGCTTTTAAACGATCAAAACATACACCAATTTAGATATTGATTTCTGTTTCAGGCAGAGGCATTTAGATTGGTAATAAATTTGACACATTTTTAATAGCCTTTGGCTTTGAAAATGAGGACTTAATATGTACACTTTTGTACACTTTTGTTATGTAAACGGCTATTATATGCTTAACTTTTAACATGTTTCACAGTTTATTCATTCCATTTAAGCAGTTCCATAGATTAGTATTCACTTTTGTTTGACTTTTACTCAATAGCAGTCTTATCCTACCTTGTGCTTTCTGAAGTGATTTCTTTAAATTTAAAGTTCGATCTTATTATGTTTAAAGTTATGTGACAGTTTACTGGTGATAAATCTATACATTATATTTAAGATTAGTGCTGATGGTAACACATCAGTCGTGGGTGCAACAGGTCGTAAAGTGATGGTGTCTTTTGTGAAATGCCGTCGGATAGCATCAATTATCAGTGATATCCAAATGTATCAAAATGAATCGTATGCATTGGAAGTGGAGCCAAGTATAAGGGTAAGTGACTTAAGAGAATTTATAAATCTGATAATGAATTTTATAAGTTGGATTAAATTCTTCTGACGTCAAATACATATGTTCACTTTTTCGCTTTTTTGTCATCCATCTAAAATATTATTCATATCTCTTTTATATTTGTTTCTTTTTGTGAATTCTACTAATTTCTGTTTTATTGATTGTTATGTTCTGTTATATGTTAAAAGCTGCATAAATACGATAGTTAAAAATTATATAGAAATTCTGGAAATTGGTATGTTCGGCTTCCTCGCGCCTTTCTTTTTTCTTTTCGAATATCTTTTTATATGCAATGATTCTTTTATTATTCCAGTGATTTTTTTCTGTCGGAAAATCTTATTTCATATTCTTTATTCGAAAAACTTTTAAAAAACATGTCTAGTTGTTTGATCGACTTGACGAAGTTATCTGGGAAAATTGTTTATTATTATTGAGGCTGCTAATATGTGAGTTTGCTTTCGCTAAAATACTTTCTGCATTTTATTTGAGAATATAAAAGTAAATCAACGATTTTACGATTTCTGCAAGAGAATTGCAACGGAAGTTAAAGGAAAAAACAACTAGCTACATTAATAACAGGAAGAGGCGGAGTAAGGAGTTTTTGTTTGTAACAGATAGCCGGAAGTTCATTTTTTGGAGAATAAGAGGACAAGGTGGGAAGGGAACAAAATGTGTTTATCTTATTTGTTCTCTCCAAAAACATCTATTCATTTTCGCTATTCAGTGGTGTTACTGAACATGTTCATTTGGACTGTTGTTGCTTAATGTGCGGAAATCCTGAAGTTTTCCCAGATTATCGTGGTCTTTTTGCATTTTGTCCTCTTTGGTTTACTTTCTCTCGTTTTCAAAGATGAGATCGAGTTTTCCTGACTTCAGCGCTTTGACCTCTCGGATCGTTTGTTCTGAGATAATTGTGATAGACATAGTGTCTGCTGAAGGTATCAGTTACTGCCAACGCGGATTTAAACGAATCAATTGAACCAGTAGCAGTTGTGGTAAGAAGCGCCTCTGAGGCCGGCAATTGCAAACAGTAAAAAATGATTAGTGTCTCTTTGTGTATCCGGAGAAACATTTAGCTGTTTGCTGGCTTAATTCTTTCTTTCATTTCATCATTTGGCAGCGATCTGTAGACGGCATGGGGAAAGATTGGCTACGATATGTAGAAGATAGAGAGATGCAGAGAGGCGATGTATATTTGTGTAATCAATGGTTAGAGGGCTTGTGCTGAAGAGAGACAGATGATTGTGATTAATTTCGGATTTGATAGTTTCTATTGATGGCCTGTCTTCGTTTTGTATCTGCCCTGCAATCAGAGACAGGTTGAACAAGATTTTCCTCTTTTCAAAGTTTTTTAACAAACAGTCGAAATAACTTCTTGTTCGCAAAGTTTTCGCGTTGTTGTCTTCATCATTCATTCCCCATCAAAATAGTGATAAATGGGACATGTTCTTTTTGATGTGAATTTTACCTATTTAGAACTTTTTTTTTGGTTGAAAAATGGAAAAGCCTCATTGTGCTGAAGTGGAGCTCTGAGGAGATCACCGTTAACATTTAGGGATACTAAAAATTTCTCCCAGTTAAAAACTACTGATAAAATCTTTGCTTTCAAAAGTAAAAAAGTTTTAAGAATATCTGGATAGTAGTTTCTCTTAGCAGTTTACATTTTCTTATCTATCATTGCTAGATACAAACTCATAAGATTGAGTACTTTACTTTAACTTTAAAATAATTTGCCCATCCAAAATTCATATGTTACTTTGGAGACTCCAATATCGATCCATCATTTAACATTCTAATGAAACATTCTGTATTTGATTAATCTGTTTGTAGTAGCAAGTTGTGTATTAATGCAACGCTTAGTGAAACTTCTTTTTGAATTGTTTCTCTTTTAAAATGCCTAGGAAATGTTTTTTTTTTTTTTTTGAAAAAATGATTTGTTGCTATTTAGTTGAAATAATTGAGTGACTCATTTGTCCTTATTTTAATCTCTATTTCAATATCTGAACTAGTTACAAAGGTTGCATCATTCTTGTTTCAGATTTTTCCTCGCGTTATTGAATTTAGAAACATAAGTAGGCTTTGAATTGGTTCAAGAATTCAGCCATTGAAAAGAAAGGTTGTACCCAAAATTCTCCTCCATATATTCTTATTTCATAACAGATTGATAAATATTATGTATATAACAAATCATTTTAAAATGAACTGGAAGTTCTTTGTTTCTGTTCATTTAAATATTAATTTTTATTTAATCTCAGCTACCTGAGATTTAACTTATTTTGTATTTTTTGGTTTTCCCTTTTCATTTTAGATGTAGCATTTTAGATAAACAATCTTACGAATTATTTTGTAAAACGTGCCACCAGTAAACAAATCGTTTTATTGTGAGGAATTTGTTAGATCTTTTACTATGATGTCGAAGTCAATCAGATTTAGACTGTTCTTATCTATGGGATCTGGTGGTTTCGTGGCATGACGTAGATATCCTGTTGTGAGACGTAATGATGGTATTGTTTTCAGTGTCGAAGGGTCCTGTCACCTTTCAACTCTTATCACAAAATGTGTATGTGTGTTAGCGTTAGTATATGTATGTATTTGTATTAGTGTCAGTTATGCATGGTTGTGATTGATTTGGACACTCCGTTTATATGACGACCCACTGTTGTCCATTCCTCTGATCCTCCCATTATTTTCTACTTTCACCATCCTCATCCCTCATTCTTTTGAATGCTATAAAAGGACCAGAACTCTTTTTTCCCCGTTCGAGTTTTTCTTTTAATGTTTCGACCGGAACCTAGGAATTTCAGTATTGTGCTCTTTCCATCTGTTTTCCCATTTAATAATATAAACTTCATGTGCGTTTTGCCTTTTTGTTCAGAAGTTTCTTATATCAGAATTTTTGGAACTAATTTGAAGGGTTTGTACTGAACGATAGCTCTATTCTTTCACGTCACTGCCTTCAGCTAGAAAAATGATGGATAGTTTTGATTTTAGCGATAAGCAAATTTCTCAATTTCTATATAATCCAGTTTCTATTCTTGTGCTGATGACAATTCAAGTTGAATAACGATAATTTCTCATTTTGACTTCTTTCTTTCCTTTTAATGTTTTGTATTTATGGTCGACCAGCCTGTATTACAATTTTCCAAAAAACTTTTAACAGACTGCTGCATTCATTCTCCCTTGAAAACTTCTGTTCCAGTGTTTCCCACTGAAAAGATTCGGTATATCTCCGCCTCAAAGTTTTTGGATATAGGATTTTGATGTGAAGTGTTTATTCATGTTCATTCGCGTTCTAGCGTTTTTTTTTTTTTTTTTTTCATTGTTATGAATGAAATAACAGAATGTTAATGTTATTGTATTGTGAAGAGATGGTACTAACTGATTATTGCGAAACAACACCGCTTATTGCTGATAAATGTTTGATGAGCAGACGCAAGCGATGGTTTTGTCAAACTAAGGTGAGCAGTATTCAACTTTTTTTCTGGTGATGAGTGGTAGGGTGAGCATAAAAATAACTTGTTGATTTACCAAAGTTCTTGGTTTTTAGTAAGCTTCAAATAGAAAGGACTTTTTGCGTTCTCATATGACTTCACTGTTTTCTCCTTTTTGAGGCTAAATATAACAGTTCAAATTGTTGTCCTGTTGTGATTTATTAAAATCAAGGATAAAAGTGATTTTTTTGAAAAAAAAAAAAAAAAAATAGCAAAGGAAAAGGGAGATATTGCTATTTGGTTTGTTATTGCTGTTGAAACAAGACATGTTAATTTATCACTTCTTATTCACATCGGAAGTTTTTTCTGTTTCTTTAAATTATTTTTATGACACGATAATTCAGCTTTCCTTGACATGGTTCATCCTAATGTCTTTGTTCAGTTATGTAGTGCTTATATGTCTATAAAATTAAACGATTGACAGTCATTTTTTGAGTTGGGTCTAGTAAGCAGTGACACAAATAACATTACTAAATTTCTGAAATTTTTGATCTAATTGGTTTGTCTGAATATTGAATCCTTTTTCTTACTTCATAAAGAACTGCACCTGCTTGAAAACAATTTTTTTCTTTTCTGTTTTTTCTAAATAGACCTTAGCACTCAGTTTTTTTTTTTTTTATCATTATAAAGAAGGACTGTTGAGTCTTAATTTTCATGTTGTCAGAAAAAAATAGTAACAAGAGGTTCTGACAGCAATAATTACGGTTTAGTCTATATATGTTTTCCATTCCCTCTGTGTTGTTGTCTTGTCTATGATATTTAGGTCGTTTAGTTCTATTGAATGTTTATCTGGTCTGATGACTGAATTACTTGAACTTCATATGTATAATCCTGAAATATCACTAAATTTTTTGTTCACAATTTTCCAATGCTGTTTTCTATTTAATATTAACACATTAACATCACCACGTAAGTTCCCTTGAATAGTTGTAAATAGATTGAGAATAAGTTATCCATTCTGACGCGAATCGTTTTATTCTGATTGAGAAGAAAATGATATGGTGATTTCCTTTTGTAGATCTTGAAAGTTTTTAATTTTCGAAACAGTTTATGATGTTCCATTGATAGATTAATTACCTTAATTAATTTGTACGTCTATGATTTCCGGCAAGAAATATTGGTCGGTCTGTGGTCTCTCCATTCTTGTAAATAAGAAAATTTTTGAGTGTAATGGAACATTGTAACTAAACAGTGATGAGCACTATTCTAAATCATACTATTTTCCTCTCAACTGTTGATGACAATTGAAGGAGTAAGTAGATGAACCTGAATGCTTGCTTCAACGGATGACCTTATCATCCTTCTGAAGGTCGTTCCCAAAGTGTAGTTACATTATCGTTTTGGTAGGATCTGGGAAAGTTTATAGTTAAATTGTTTTCGTTGCGTGAGGAGAAAGTAATGCTTTCAACATATTTTCTTCTTTCCTTAAAATAATTCCTACGGAAAGTTACTTTCATCTGTGGAGTAACAACCGACTGTTTCATATTTATGATACGTTTATGTGATTTTAATTGTTTTAAGCATCTCTTAAGTCTTGTTTTGATGGATCCTATTTCTATTGAGAAGGAGCAGAAAGAGAGATTTAGATATTCAGTATGAATCTTCTCACTGCATCCTATTGCTGATTGCTTCGTAGAGCTGTCAGTTTGCTTCACTAGAGCTGGAAGTTAAAGTCATCATCGGTGGATGAGATAGAATGAAGAGAAGAGACTTGTGATATACAATGTATAATAACGGGAGAATATTTCTTAATAAAATTTCTTTCATAATATGGGTGCTTTAATTAGTCGAGCAAATATGAAGTAAAAGAGTTCTATGAATTCTATGAATCGTATTTAATGTTTACCCTCTATGAATCTTTACCTAAATTTGAGTTCAATTAGTGATAAGCACATTTTTTTTTTATTTTTACAATCCGTTCCAAGACTGCCTGGTTGTGTTATGAACAAATCTCTTATTTTGAATAAGAGAAATATTGATGCTGCAACTATGAATCAGATTTAAATGGTTATATGATAGAAACAATAAGAGCTAACATAGTCTTGACTGGCATACTATAATAAGTAGATGAAATAATGAAAAGCTGTTTTTTATTTTCACTCTATTGTTCTTCGATGCTAGTACATATTGCAGTTGTGAAGATATTATAGAAAATATAAAAATCTGCAAAGAATATACTTGTCAACAATATATTGCATAAAAATATTAGGACTAAGCATCAAAAATTTATATTTATATAGAGAAAAATAAGATAATGATGAGATGGTTTGATGGTGCAGAAAAGATATCTTGAAAGCATTTTCAAAGTTAGCAATCAAGGAATCAATGATTTTATTGATTGAGCTTTCGATCATTCATTTCTCTTTGTCGATTTCAAAAAATTCATTCTGAGTCATTCGATACCGGAATTTCCTTTTCCAATCTTTTTCGAGTTTCGTTTTGTTTTTGCCTATGGAATATGCTAATCTGGAACTGAATTATTAGTGAAGAATAAATTGATACTAACGATTTATGAGAACATTAAGCGGTTAAAAGGACACTGTACATTCCATATTCCCGGTAGGAAAATTGCAAGTACAGAAATTATATTCTTTCTTTTGCCTCGTAAATCATTTCTAGTGCTTTTTTTTTTCTGTTGTTTCATTTAATCGTTATTATAACAACCAATGATTCAAGCAGTCAAAGAATACCTCTAACTTGGGATATATAATCATTTCGTGTTGCTTCACTTTGTCAGAAATACTCATTATTATGCGCTAGCTTAGTAATTTTTGATTGCTTGAATCATTAGCTGATTTTATTTATATACAAAAACAGTTGCCTTTTGGACTTCATTCCACTTCTAGTTCTATTCCCTCATGCTCTTTACTACCCAAGCGTTTTAAAATTCCAGAGGTTTTTTAATTTTTGAAGATAGTATGTGCTCATTTTCCCATGCTAAAATTCCAGTTCGGGATATATGAGTAGCACTCTCACCATAAAATATATATATATACATATATTATCCCCTCTAACCACTTCGTGTTGCATCACTTTACTTTTTTTTTTTTGTCCTTTTTGAATTGTGAGTACTTTTTTTGTCCTTTTTGAAAGATTATTTCCTGCTTTCCTGTAATATATATCGCACACTTATCTCCAGTCCTGTAACATTAATATTGTTGTGCAATATGGTGATGTTTTGTCTATATTCACACAATTAGTTGGATGATAAGTAGTTAATTGCGGAAGTCATCGCTTGAAGTGATCTGCGGCCGAAATCGAACATCATTACCGTAGCAGCATCTGGAGCGGAACCGCATTATTTCCCTTCCGTTTCATTAGCTCAGTTTCCTTCGTAAAAATGCCAGCCAACGATTTTTGTTGTGTTGTCTCACTTTTGAAAATCTTCTAGAATCGCTACCTAGCTGTTACTCTCTTATCTGCAGATTCACATTATCAGAGCGGCGATTCACTTCTCCCTTTTCTCTCCTTGCTCACTCGACCTTAAAGTTTTCATCCATTTTACAGTGATATGCCTCCATTGGTGTTGATTTCAATGAACGACTTCCGGTTAAACAAACAGATATCAATGATTATAGTCCTGCTCCTGCTCTTACTCTTATGCAGACTTTTACAAGTCTCTAATGCATTTTCTAAACTATTCCCTTCTTTCACAACGATACCTAATCTTTTGTTTCATTTCCACATAACCCTCTGTAGCTATGTGTATGATGTAGTAGTAGGTAGCACTTATATTTTTTTACCCGATTTTTCTGTTATTAACCTATCTGATTCGTGAACATTTGTTATAGTTTTGGATTCTTCTGAAGTTTATTCTACCATTTTTGAAAAGATAATTTTGATCAGTAGATAATGAATTTAAAACAGTTGCCAAGAATTTCATTAATTCAGAATTTGAAGACTTATCTAGATTTCTATGAATATGAAATTTTGGAATTACCTATTATGATGAAATGTTTAACCTCTCTTGCGATTTGGCCTGAATTAAAAATTAAATTTGCATCCTAGCCCTTGTTATTGTTTAAGGATACACGAGTTACACTTAGTTAGTAGTTTGGAGTCCTTTAATTAAAAACCACTTAATAAATTCTTAGTTGATTCATAAGTGGCGTCATCCATCCGTCACATATTCGCGAACGTATTTACCCATAAGTAATTCTTTAATTACTAGTATTTAGTGCATACCACATTATCATATTTCTGATATACTGACTGACAAACAGCATTGTTTGCAGCATGCTTTCATATACTTTATGCTCCTGCTGCTCTAGATCATTTTCTGCAACATCATCTGTTTCTCCGTCTTATGATCTGGTAAATGTCTTATCCGCAGTCATTTTCATTTAACTAATTTGTTTCTTGCTCTTTATCTAATTATTTTAATTCTTTAATGCACCTTACTTCCAGAAGAAATTTGTTACTATATTTTATATGCAACTTTTCCGCATGTTGTCTTCAGCAATTTGATTACTCTACCTCTTTTTATCTGTATGCGTTACATCAGTAAAAATACTTCTTTTCCCATCATCCTTCTTATTGTTTTCGTATGATCTCAGACTATATGTGATGATTGTACGTCTTATTTCACTTGGAAGTCCAGAAAAATATCTAGAAAATACTGACTGGATTTAACACTTGTTTTTTGGATGTGATTTTGAAGTAGCTAGAATTATTTCTATCCTTTGAAGTGGTAAGTTTGATTTAACTATGTACTGTTTATCTTATATACTATTATGTCCTGTAAGATAGGGTTTTTCTACATTTTCAGTTACAGTTGTTTATTTTGAAATTTCAGCATTTTTTTGAGACCATCAATCCGCTGAACGGTTTTGATGGGAAGGAATCCTTGGAGACATATATGTGGGAACAGTCACTGAAAGTGGAACCAAAGGACCCCGATAAAATGGAATTTGTCGTACGTTTCCTTTTGTTATTTAATGTGGCTTCTAAAGCGTAATTTTGTGTTTTTAAATTTAGAACGTAATGTTGAAGATACATATTGTGTACAGAAATAACTTTTTGGGTTTTGGGGAATCATTTCTATTATGCTTTCCTTTTGTATTCCTTTCGCTTTATTTATGTGTAATATGTATTTGTGTCAGTTGATGAAAGGTGATCAAATGCAGAAAAGGTACAAAGCCAAACCTAAATATTCTCCAGTTTTTAACCATTCCCTCTTCATTCCTTCCCACGAATGTGTTTTCAAAACCATTTCAACAGAAAGTTTGTTAATTTCGAAAAATTTGCATTCTATTCTAGTTGTTTATCTTTTTGCATATCTTATTTAGACCCTAAAAATGTTAGTAAGCAGTTGCCAATTGAAAAGAGAAATTAAGGATTCATATAAAGGCTTAGAAAAACGTTTTATTTGTTAAACTTCTCCGGAAACTAGTGGAATTAAATTGAGCAAATCTCATTTATGCTGTTTGACAAGTTGTGAACAACTTGTAAAGCTGGTTTCTTCTACAAAAATTGTCGAATTCACCCTTGTAATGTTGACTATTAACTTTTTGAGAGTTATTTTTGATAAATCTGAAGCAGTTATTCTCTTCTGAAGTGAACACATGTTGAAAGGATCTAAAATGGATCTATAGAAAGGAGGATTACATGTAGCAATGTTCAGGTAGTTGTAGTGAATGTTATTCTTCTGATTAGTTGGCATAATTTAATTCTTCTGCCAACTATTGTACATTTCGTTGGTTATCTTCAGTTCCATCTTAAACATTTTTCGTTATTGTTTATTGTAACAGCTATCGTTTACAGAAACCATCCAGACCAGCTTATGTGCTGAAATCACCAGGCATCAAGCCACCCAAATCAATCTCATTAGCACCATCAACTAGTGGTCCGTCGAACCATTACTCAGGACATCGTGCTAGTGGACGAGGTTTCTCGGCACTTAACAATTACAGTCCGAACATATCTCACTCATCGGATGTGTGAGTTTTTAATATCGCAGCTTTTTGATACATCATTTTATTAGAATGACTTCGATAATAAGTCGTACAGTATCAACTGATCAAATATAAATCGTCTGATGAACATGTGTTCGTAAAGTATCATATAGAATTCATTAGTTGTTTGGAAATAACATTGATTGGTTTTGTTGAAAAGATTGATCACAATCTGGTTTCACTGCTTAATTTTTACCTCGTCTTGTTTTAGATTAGGTTCTAGTTAGTGGTCGTTACTAATTGAGACTTTAGGTGCTCTGTTCTGTACGAACGTACAATATACTACCTTGTATTTGCAAACGCGATCTTAAAATTGGATTATTTTGATGTCTTTTTTGAAGAGAGCAAAAAAAAAAAATAGAAGTGTTCCGCTTCACTGCTTAGCTAGAAACTACAATAAAGATGAAGTTGTATTTGAAACCACTAGGGTCATGTCATCCACGTTATCTGAGGAAAATTTGTAAATTGGTTTCTGTATTTATTTCAAAAATTGTGACAGTAACTTTTCAAATAGGAATATTAGATTGTTGTAATTTTTTTGGACATTTGATGCTAGCTAGCACTTTAGATTCTTTCTGATCAGATACTGGTTTAACATTATATGCTTCCTATTTTTCTTCAAAATGAATGCCTTCAATTACTTATTTTAAAAATGAAATTGTTGCTGCAGTGCTGAAGAAAAGCAATTATTTGGATTGGAATTTTTCCTCGTGCTGTTTTGGTATTGATCTGCGGAAACTGAACTCATATCATTTGAACTACATCTTTTTGAAATTGTTGCAGATCAGTCTTTTTACGTATATGCTTCTTCAGGTCACGTCCCAATTTGTTATCAAATTTCGAGGACCGAAATTCTTACCTTGGAATGGTTGAAATCACTCCAGGTTAATCTGATTCTTATGTTTACTGTCTGCTCACTATGTAACAGAATAAAATGACTTTGCTCTCTCCTAAAAATGAAGTGGTCACTGCTTTTTGAATGAATTTCTAAAATTGCTGATACTGAAGCTGAAATTTCCAGCTTCATATATTGAAATATTTGTATCTCTAGGCCAGCAACCGCGATATCTTGGTGACGCAAAACGTGGTACACAATCAACAGTTGCTTCACCAACTGAACCGCGGATTCCGCCAATAATGCCAAGGGCTAAACAACGAAACGATAAAGCATCGTCGACACCACCAAGTCCTCGTTCATCACAGAATGGACATTTTACTACTCCGTCACCACCTCCTCTCTATCCACGAAAGTTGTCAACCCAGGAACAGCTGGCCCCACCACCACCTCTAAAAGTTTTGACTCATGGAGTTCCAGATTTGAATGGTCCTGTTCCTCCTCATTCTGCTCCTTTTTGCGCTACTCCAGGTTCGATCATTTCAATGAATGTATTTAATTATCCTTTACTTTTGAACACTTTATCAAATACCACAGTATATTATGAAACAGAGCTGTCTTGATTTCAGAAAGCTTCAAACATATTTTGATACCTGGACATGAATGACTTGAAGGATAATATATCGGAATTTATGATATAATAAATTGATATCGCACCCTTTGCATTGCTTAAAAATTTCCTCATATTCACTTACTGTAGTTAGTTGTGATATTCAGGAACTTTCAGATTCATTCGTTTTTCCTCCGTATGGAGGGAATGCAGTATCCCGAACAATAGCACCTTTGGAAAGCATCTCTCCTGTAGCACAAACAACAGGCATAATTCCAACAGTACCACCGAGGAAAAAAGTTGAACAGCTGCCATCCCCATTGTTTGGTGATGCTGTGCACGTCGTCTGGAACAAGTTAGAGTTAATTTCTCAAATCTTTGTAAATCAGATCACAAATTTGTGAAAATGAAAGTGTATATCTCTGCTGCTGTGATCATATTAACTGATTGACGGTTTTTAGGGAAGCGAAATCAGCAGTGTGCGATGCAGATGATACCATATCACCACCTTCATCATCGCAAAATTCAATTCAAAATAGTGCTGCTACAGCACCGAAGCTGTATCCACGAGGAGCTTGTCCAGCAGAACCGCCTCCAAGGCCACCAAAATTGTGAATTGTTTTTACGTATCTTAATAAATGATAGTACTATAATGATCATTCTTTAAATGTAGGTATTTGCATGTTTGAGACCAGTAACATATAACTAGTGTATTTCAGATTTTACAACAAGAAGCCGCAAGAATTGTGTGGTGAAAAAGTGCTTAAAGAAACAAATGATTTCGATTCACCTCCTCCATTACCACCAAAAACTTACAAACGAAGGCAACAACATAATCGCTTACAGTAGTTTAAGGCAGGCTTAGAATTTTCGTGTAGAATATTTATTGAATTATTGCGTTTAAAGATCCCATTCTAAAGCAGTTAGTTTTGAAGTAGTTTTGAATAATATTGTCGCCGTTCTGATCCGAATCTATACAGCAAATTTATGTGTTTGTTGCTTACTGACGACAATATTTTACACCATTTATAAATAATTGTACTGACTTTCTTTTATTTACATAATTAGCCTGCGGTATCTTTGCCTTTTCCTAAGATAATCCCATGGCAATAATGTGTTCAGTAATGGTTAAAATAATGATTTAGTAATGACATTTTAAAGAACGTCTTTATTTTTTTTCCAGTTAAAAAGAAAGCGGAACATTTGTTCTGAGATTGGTTTGCATTAACACACAAAAAAATTTAACTGCTTTGAATGGAATTTATTTCAAAACTGATTTTCGTCTTATTCTGGACTTTTGTTGCAGAAATTGTACTGTTCTTACTGTTCTGCTAGCTGTACTATTCAGCTGTGCAAAGTAGTACCTTCACTGCTGTTATTTCTTTAGTTCATAACGGGTCCTTTTTGTTAATCAATAATTCGATTAATCAAGTGCCTAAACTTCTACAGCCTTGTGTACTCAGAATATAATCTGAGCATCCACTTCGCTTTGCCATACTTTTCCTTTATTTCTGTTGTTAAACTTAATTTATTTATATTTTATTAATATGGTTCCATGAAATTATCTGGTAACTATTAGTGATTATTTTTCGATTATTGGAAGTTTTTTTCAACTTTTAAGAAGTGAAAGTTCAAGGTCAAAATTTTTCCTAAAACTAAGATTCTGAAATTGTTTTAAATATAGTGTTTAATTTACTTCGAATTTCAGCCGATTGTGCCATATTACTATAGTGGTTGTTGTTTTTTGCGTCTTAAATTGAAACTGTGATACTTTCTGAAATTCTCCACTTTGTTTTGTACATGTGTTATGCCGAATCTCATAGCACTGTTTGCCTATGTTTAAATTTTTTCAAAATTTCGCTCAGTTCGTTATTGTCCAGAAAATGACGATTCGTCCTCACTCATACTTTTTCATGTGTTTCTCTACTTTTTTAAAATCATTTGATTTGATGTTGTAAAGTTCACTGTCTGTAAAGTTCATTGTCTACAGAATTAGCAAATAAATATGAATCTCAAATCCAGTTTAATCAGATTTGTATTTTACAATTAAGACTTGTGGAAACTTTTTAAGAGTTTACATTTTTTGAAGAGTATTCATTTTTTTTTTTTTTTTTTTTTTGAAATAATCACTTTTGTAGCAAACAGTGAAAGGTACTGCTTGTGGGTTTTGCTGATTTGCTGCAAGTTTTGCCTCATGGATAGCTCTATAAAGATCAAGTGATAAGGTAAGGGCTGTTTATAAAATTTCGTTGATAAAGCATGAAGTTTTGGTCGCCGATTTCGAGTTGACAATCAAACAGACTGCTATGTTTTCAAAATACTTTGTTGCTTGGATTGGATTGTGATGGTTATTGAATTACTGGTGTCGGTATTAAGATCTGTTTTCTGCTCTCATCACTGATTCATATGAACGTGGAAGTCACTGTCTATTTCAAGCAAATGTTGTGGATGTCGTCATCATGGTAATACTGTTTTTGTTAAGCATAAGGACAGACCAGTTGTGTTTTAGTGAAGAATGAAAAACCAAATTGTCAGTAAGGTAATGATTGGTTAATTGTACGTCTTTCACGTGAAAATTGCATGACATTCACTGCATCATCAATAACTCCTTGAATTTGAGGAAACCTAACAAACCAGATTTTGACTATTAATCTTCCCTGTAATGATACAGCGCGGAAGTCACTATTTGTTTCGAAATTTATCAAAAATTTTCTAAATGGAAACAAATCCATGTAGAATTTAAGCTAACTGGATTAGAAATGAGGCAGATGATGATTACAAATGTTTTAGATGTCTTTTATCTTGGATAGAAGAATGATATAAATTGCTAATGGAAGGAAAATTGGGAATGATTCATGGATCACTGTTTTTAATGAACAATTTTATTGGCTCATTTCTTTACGAGACAAATTTAACTAATTTCGTTTTTCTTTTCTTAACCTCATTTTATTACACATGTTCAACTGATGCAGGTGTGGAATAACAATTTCAATGAAGTTTTTTTTATGCTATTTTCTTGAATTTCAATAAATTATTCAGCAAGATTTGCTATGAATTCGAATTCATCAAATTAGTATGCATTCTAACTTAAAGTTAAAGTGTTAACTTAAAGTGAAATTATTATCATTTTACTAGAGTTAACTTCTCATCGACAACATTGATATACGTATGAACTGTACGGGTATTGCATTATATTGCTCGGGTCGATGATCAATGCATAGTTCCTCCGTCGTGAAGAAAAGTGCCACCATTTATCTGTTGTTGTACAATCAACCTGCGATGTTGTCGTTTCTTTTCTTTTCTTAAAAAGGGAGAGAGAGAGAGAGGAAAAGAGAGTGTAGTAGTATGTATTATTTAATCTTTAACTCTGTCAACAAATTGCTTTAAACTTTTTCCAGCAATTCAAGTTCACTAAGCTTTATAAGGTTAATCTTTTTATTGTGATATATCAACCATTGTGATAAGCATTTCAGATATGGAATCTCAAACATCGTTAACTGAAAAGAGAATGAACTCACATTACTCTCATATTTTTTTTAGGAATAATTAGCTTTGAAAGAATGAAAATGGGAAAGATAGTAAATAATAAATTGAAATGACAGCATTTATAAGGAAGCAATGTTCGAAGTATATTGTTATTACTTGTAATGTAAGAGAAGGTCCCATATACTTTGTAGCTCCATGTATTCCTCAACAATAACAGAATACCGTCAAAGGCTACGCTGTCACACTTATAACTTGCGCAATCTGTTTGTGCATTTAATGTGTCGTATAATTTGGATATGGATAAAAGCAGTTCAAATTCCTTTATCAAATTTTCATGTCGTCAAGCAGAAGAATAAATCAAAAGTTTTTTTAAAAGTTTGTTGAGTCATTTTCCTGAAAGAAAAACAGAAGATGTGGGAAAGTAAGAGAGAACAGTAATGGACGGAGATTTTGTGTCTTAAACCAGTGCACCAACGTTCTGTGTATCGCACGCCGTATTCACGTGTGCGGTAACTGTGCTGATGATTATATTCATAATATTAATAATAATAACAGGAGAGTGCGCATTTGCAAATGGCGTCAAACTGTAAACAAAATTAGGCCTAATTAACTAGAGATGGCAAGATTTCCAATGAGATTACAAGAATTATAAATTTAAAAAAAAAAGATAATTAATTGGAACACTGAAGTATATCTGATTTGATTCATAGCTTTAATTCATATTCGATTATCAATTCTGAGTTCAAAATGAATTTCTGTGTAAAACAGTGAAGTTTTAAGATAACAGAGCTGATTTTACTGCTATAATATCGTATCCCTCTGTACATATAAAGAAGATTTGGTTAAAAAAAACTGACTTATATATAATATCTATCCATAGGGATTTGTTGAAATTTTACTTGTTTAAGCAAAATGCACAATAATTATTATGCGATGTTGTCTGATATCCAGGAATTCGGGAATCCTTAAATGTTGTGGTGTCATTAGCTCGACATAAATTATGCAGGAAGTACATGTGTTTTGCTGCTGTTCACGTGCGTTGCAGCAGAGAATGTTTGTGTATGCATGAAAGGGTGGCAAGAATGTCGTCGACGACGACAGGAACAAATGCAAAAGGCTTTACAGAACTTGATTCCTGGTCTCCATATTTAAATAGGTTAAAGGTGTAGTTCACTTTCAAGCCATCAGCAAAGTGTTCGACTATGTTTTACCAATTCAGTTTGCATCAACTTATTTCTTTGTGAACTTCCTTTACAGTTTCTGTTTATCAAGTATTGGGAGAACTGTAAGATTAAAGGTTATGGCTATAGGAAAAGCTAATATCATGTATGATATATATATATATATATATATATATATATATATATATATATATATATAATACACCATAATAACCTTCTATGATTATTAATTCATTTCGCTCATTTTAATTTAATTAAAATAGTTCTTGATATATTTCAACTTCTCTCATACTAAATCATTTCCTTGTTAACTCTTTGTTTAACTAAAAACCTCTCTGACCAAAAAGATGGTATTTTAGAAACTTCAATGAGGTATCATATTCCTTAATTATAAACCTTCAAGTACCAGTATTAATTAGGAGCTTTTTAAACTTTCATAAATGCGAAGTTGCAAATTGCTTTCATTATTTTTTTGCGTATTTGAAAATTTAAACTAAATTATGGTTTACTACAACTTCTTTTAATTTTCAGTATTAAGTAATCCTCTTTCTAATCTGTTAATGCAAATAATTCTTAAATTGGAAATAAAAATAGCACTTTTGTCTGAAAATTTAACTTCCAGCACCAAATTTAAACGGATTAATTATATTGAACTGCTCATTTTTTTTTTTTTGTTCATGCAATTTCGCTCGCTATATATTATATTAATAATTACTATAATTATCCAAATATTATTCCATTCTATTTTTTTTCACTTTTTCTGACTAGGATAAAATAACAACCTTTTTTGGGAAAGTGATAATAGGTAACAATTTAAAGCTGTTTATTTTACAGAGCACAAAGTGGAACAAAAAGTGTTCGACTGCTTGGTGGTTATTCCTGTAAGCATATATCAGTTACTATTATTATTTTATTATTATTGTTATTGTTCTATTATTGTTATTGCTACCATGTATCTTCCGGATAATTCCACTTTTATCACCGGAATTCCAAGCATCGAAAGTGACCGTAAGTCTTTTTCGTTTCTTCATTTCCTGCAAGCGAAAAGCAATAATTTTTGTTGCGGTTTGTTTATTCACTTAATTCTAGAAGAATTCTTGGATGAAAATTTCAGTGGTCCTTCAGACCTTAATTTCTGAACTTTTCTGGTCCAAAAATGAAGTTCCATCTTTGATTGATTAA